AGAAGAAGAAGAAGAGGAGGAGGAGGAAGAAGAAGAAGAGGAGGAGGAGGAGGAGGAAGAAAACAGCGTCCCTGCAGCTCATCCTCAGCCCAAGAGGGCACATGGCCAAGGTGGAAGGAGAGCCAAGGGACGCAAGCACAGAGCCAACACAAGCAAAAACAAAGGTGAAAACAGACGTGTTTATGAAAACTGTTGTTCATCAGCATCAACAAGAGGAGAGATGGTTCATCAGATTTGAGCTCTTCAAGTCTCCATGAATATCTTTGAGCCCTGCAGCAGTTAAATATGTATGAAACATATGTGTACATTTATTTATGTAATCCGCTCTGTTACTATACTTTGTATATCTTTTCCTAACCCTTGAGACATATTTTCCTGTCTCTATTCTTAAGTTCTGGACACTGTGTCACCAGTGTCCCGGCTAACCTCCTCCACCAATTAATGTTTTAAGATCAGGGGGCTGGAACTCCTCAATATATATCTTCAACTCCATAACTACCAGGATGGACAAATGACAAAACTACTTTGGGAAGTGCTTTAAAGGCTAGTGCCATAAACACAAATCATTTGACTTTAGGAACCTTTTCTGGTAGTTTCTGTAGAAGCTACTAATTGGCATCCCCGGAAAAATGTTTAGAGAAAAAATATTTTTTTTTGCGTTCAAATAAAATGGAGCTGCATGGTAAATATCCCTTTTTTAACCACTGAGTCCTAATGTGTGCAGATGTCAAGCCCCTGTTGGAGACCTCGGAGCTGGCGGCAGCAGCAGAGAGTGCAGCAGAGAGCGGGGACGTCTTCAGAAGTCACAAAGTCCGAGAGCACAAGAGAGTGTACCGCTGCACCCTCTGCAACAAGGTCTTTCAGAACAGCAGCAACCTCAACAGACACATCAGATCTCATGGTATTTATCCCATTCTCTGGTCAGGTGAACATGCTATAACTTCAGAGATTGAATTAAAGTCAACTAGAGGACAGTGACCACAATAGGCCTTACTCACAGACAGTTTTTCTTCTCATCGTCCAACATGTCCTGTCAAACTGAACACATTTTTTCAGTAGCATTGTGGTTTTGTGACTTAGCACTCTAAATTGTTAGTTTGGAATCAAAACCTCCATCTTGAGGGGCATTAGTTGATGCACAGTAGTTAAGCAGGGGCTATGTATTACATTGCAGAGTGCACACAAACATAGAGCGAAACTAGTGTAACCAGTGTGACAACTGCATTATTGTTAGCTAGAGTGGCCATATTTAAAAAATAATAATAATAAAGTAAAAGCAGAATAAATGGTAGTCCCGTCCACCCAGACCTTATGCTTCTTTACCTACTCCTACATAGGAGTTTATGCTGACTAAACAAGTTAAAAAAACTAGTCAATAACTGTTTGTAACCGTCGAAGGTCGTTTCGTCTTCTTTCTATACCACCTCCCTGATTGAAGTTGACATAAAGATGAATGTTGTGTTTCCTCCCAGGAGACAAGCTGTTCAAATGTGACGAATGTGACAAGTTGTTCAGTCGTAAAGAAAGTCTGAAGCAGCACATCTCCTACAAGCACAGCAAAAATGCAGTGAGTAGCACACCTGTGTGTTTTGTACACCTTTAATCTTTTACTGCTGTTTAACATCGTCTCATGTCGCCCCCACAGCCCGACCACGAGTACAAATACAAATGCAACACTTGCGAGAAATCCTTTCGTCTGGAAAATGCCTTAAAGTTCCACAACTGTCGAACAGGTAGCGGCTCGGAAGCTCCGAAGGAATTCTCTGCTTTGTTTGCATTGGACAGTTTTTCTTCACAGATGTCACGGATTGGTTGATCGGTTGTCTGCCTCTCTTCAGATGACAAGACGTTCCAGTGCGACATCTGCTCACGGTTCTTCTCCACCAACAGCAACCTCTCCAAGCACAAAAAGAAGCACGGCGAGAAGCTCTACTCCTGTGAAATCTGCAACAAGATGTTTTATCGCAAAGATGTGATGCAGGAACACCACAGGAGACACGGGTTGGGTGAGACGCTTTGGGAAATGTTTAAATTATCGTGCACTGTAGTGATTCGATGACAACAAGATTACTGACATCAGCTCTGCTAACACGAGTCTGTGAGAAGTCCCTCAGCCTGTAGATAAATTGTCCCATAATGCACCTGTACAGGAACAAAGCACATGAAACGAGAGGAGCTGGAAGTCAATGGAGAAGAAGCCACCAAGTACAGGAAGGAGCCGTCACCGTGTCCCATCTGTGGTAAGGTGTGTAATCTGAACAAGATTTCTGATTTCCTGTGTCAGCGGGTCAAACAGCAGCACACAAACAGGCGACCACATGTACTCTATATATATGTGTGTGTGTGTGTGTGTGTGCGCGCACACAAAGTCTCCTGCAGGAGCAACATGAACAAGCATCTGTTGACTCACGGTGATAAGAAGTACACCTGTGAGATCTGCGGCCGCAAGTTCTTCCGCGTGGACGTTCTTCGAGATCACATTCACGTGCACTTCAAGGTGAAACGACACACTTGTCACTGAGTTATGCAACACACCTGGCTCAAGGTGAATATAACATAATACAGTTGTCTTCTACTGCTCTGTCCTTCTCTGGTTGGACATGATCCCAGAGGATCCACCCTGGACAGTCAATCACAGGGCAGCATAGCATCGATCTGATATTGGTCAAAATTTCGAAAATTGACAAAACAAAACCAACTGGTCTAACATTGTTCTAATTTTTCAAACCCATTAGACAAATATTCAGAAGTCTATTATTTTGGACTGTATAGTCTGCACTGCAACAGTATTTTTGATGGCCATCTGGACAGGAATTTACAGAATTCTAGGACTTTTTCAGGTCAAATAAAAACACTGCAGACCTGTGCAATAAAAACACACAGATTGACCATCCTTTTAAACCCTCGTGTTTGTGATTTAGGACATTGCCTTAATGGACGAACAGGAGAGAGAAGGATTCATCAAGAAAATCGGCATTTCTGCAGGGAACAGTGAGGAGACCGATGATGAAGAGGAGGACGATGATCCAGAAAGACACAAGTACAACTGCAAAAAGTGTCAAGTAAGATTCGTTTTGACAAGCACAGGCGACGAAAACAGATGCTTTGTCTGCATTTTAGAATGTAAATATATATGTATGTCCATATAATGTATGTATGTAATGTCTGTTTGATGCAAACAGATACAAATATCTTCTGAGTATATATGGGCTATGTTTCAGTTATTAGTTTAATATAAAGTTTATCATTCACGGTTCTATTAGATCAAGTAAATTCATCTTCTAACCACATGGGGGCGCTTAAAAATTAGTTGTACTCAGAATAGTGAAGGTTTATGGAGTGTTTGCACTAGATGCTTCCTAAGTGTGGTGTACCTAAACATGTGTACATTTAGGAAGTGTGATTTTGATCAATAAGTACCAAACGACATGCAGCCAAACTAGAAACATCATTGACCTCAAAACCATGTGTCTCATCTAATGATGAAAGTGTCCTTTACACCAAAAGGTGTAGGTCAAAGGCAAAGGTCAATGTCAAACATCCCAGCCATCCTGGACACTCTCCTCTTTCTTCTCCTCATTCTTTACGATAACTAATGACAAACACAGATCACACATATGTATTTTATAAATATAAATACAGAATATTTAGATCTAACCCACAGACACAGCTTTAATTTACAGCCTTTATTATAGTTTATAGTTTATAGTTTGAGTAATTGATGATGTCATGTGTCAGGTTTGACGAATAATTTTTTTTTTTTGGACCAGTGTGTTTTCCTCCCATCCACATTCCTTCAACCACACGCTCACACTTCCATGTTCTGTGTGTGGCAGCTTTCATTTGCAAAGGGTAAGGAGTACCTGAAGCACATCATGGAGCAGCACAAGGAGAGAGGATATGGCTGCGGCATCTGTAACCGCCGCTTTGCACTGAAAGCCACATACAACGCTCACCTGGTCATCCACAGAGAGCAGCTGCCCGACCCTGCAGTCCAGAAGTAAGAACCTCAGGAGACAGGGAGACACGAGCCAGCTGGCTATATTTTCCACTTAACCTTCATCATGCATTTTAAAAGCACCTTGATGTAATTCAAATAAAAATTTCGCCACCGTTAAGAATGCATTGAAAACAGATTGGTCACAAAATATGCTCTTCATACAAATTCCACTGAATACATTTCCTGGTTTTGTCTTTCTCTTTCATAGACAAAAATCCTACTGTATATAAACTTTATTATGTACTATTATATGTACTGTTAACTACAACCAGGTCTCAAGAGGAAGAAAGTTGGCTCCAACATCTGTGTCTAACCTGCTCTTATTCCTGCTCCTCCTTCCAAAGGTACATCCACCCATGTGAAATCTGTGGCCGGATTTTTAACAGCATCGGGAACTTGGAAAGACACAAGATCATTCACACTGGTGAGCAGCTAAAAAAAGTCCAACTTCCTACATCTATGTGTGCACACAGACACTGCACAGAATAAAATAATGCAATTGTTCTGCTGAACTACTATATTAATGTCAAGTAATGCTATTAATGAATTTTCCAAATATCATAAAGGCTGTCAGTTATACACCACATCATTTACCTTGGTCTTCATAAATGTGACCTCATGAAAATAGAACGACAGAAAAAGGCACTGACCAGGCTTTTCAAGACACAGAGCTAAATGTTAGCTCGTGCTTCTTGGTGTGTAATTGGTGTGTGTGTGTGTGTGTTGATTCAGGGGTGAAGAGTCACAGTTGCGACAAATGCGGGAAATCATTCGCCAGGAAAGACATGCTGAAGGAGCACCTCAGGGTCCACGATGACATCAGGGACTTCCTGTGTGCAGAGTGTGGGAAAGGTGAGCTCATCACTGTTGCTTTTGTTTCACTGAGTAAACAAAGAGAATTAACCAGGAGCCTCTAGTGTGGAATGACTGACACAAGGAGGAAATGTTTTTAACTGTGCAGGTATGAAGACCAAACACGCGCTGAGGCACCACATGAAGCTTCACAAAGGCATCAAAGAGTACGAGTGCAAGGCATGTAACCGCAAGTTTGCCCAAAAGGTCAACATGCTGAAGCACTACAAGAGGCACACAGGTCAGTCCATGATGTGTCAGAGTGTAGTTCTTACACATACATGAGTCAAGTACTGGGCTCATAAAAACACAAATGATCTTGTCTGTTGGTTTCAGCGCCCCCCTGTGACCCTGTGAACTGTTTTGTTTTTTGCTGTTGCTTATTTCACTTTTGACTCTTTGACAGTTTGAGTTTACATGTTTGTCTAATAATTAGTTGACTTAACAAAGACGTTTAGATGGAAGGCAAACATCATTATTCCTTCTGCTCACCTGTTCTCTGAGGAGTTCACATGGTTGTTGTCAGGACAAGACAACTGTTGCCTTCCAAGTAGACAAATATTTTCAAAGTCCTCCAGCATATTCCTTCTGTCATTGGCCTGCTGAATACAGAGCAGCCAGTTTTGTATGAACACGTATTGCAAACAAAAGTTGCTCTCAGCAATGGAATATATGCAGCTTGGGTTATTTACCGTTCGTCTGGCAGATTTTAATGTTTCTTATGCAAAATAAAGAGGGGAAAAAAACGGTAAATGTTTTACTGGAAAATGATTTCTTCTCCCAGCATCGCACTACAATGACAGTTAATGCAAATGTATAAGAAGTATTGAACTTTCCCCCTGCTGTGTTTGATGGGCAGTGGTGTAGTTCACAGTTCCCCTGCTCTATATTCGTCTTTTTACACAGTTACACAGGGAAGTGTATTCCTCTCTCCTGTGTCTGCAGGTGTGAAGGACTTCATGTGTGAACTGTGCGGTAAGACGTTCAGTGAGCGGACGACGCTAGAGACGCACAAGCTCATCCACACAGGCAAGTAATTCCCATCAGCCTAGGTGGAGACACTCGGTCAGTTTCCGTCTGGATGTAGAGCAGAGCTCTGAGCTGGGATTTGACTTCCTCGTCTTCTGTGTGTTTAACCTCAAACATTTGAGGCTGTGTTCAGACCTGTGTTCAAACCACTGCTCAAAAAGATGAAAATTCCATGTGAGTGTCAGCCCAGCCTGACTCCACCCATCTCTCTCTCTCTCTCTCTCTCTCTGTCTCTCTGTCTATCATCCCCCATCAAAGTGACAGCTCAACAATTGCCCATGTTGTGCTAGCCAAACCTATACTTATTTTGTTTCATGCCCCCCCAGGACCTGCAACATCATGATGTCATTCCTAAGGATATTGGTGGAAAAAAAGACTTTGCCACTTTATTTTTAATTTATTTTAAAGGATACTCACATTTATTGTCATTGAAATTACATGACATTTATTTATTGTCTTTTATTTATTGTCTTTAATATTGACTAATCCAGGTCTAAGCTGTGACACACAGTTAGGTTTCACTGTAGACACAGTATATAAGTGTATGTTTAATGTGACAAATACATTTATCATCACAGAGGGCATTGTTTTTCCTGTAATAAAAATGTGGTAATGCCAGGATTATCATTGTCATACCCGTTGCTGCACTAAGTTTCTTTTTGAATCGTTGCAGTGGGCAAGACGTGGACGTGTGCCACCTGTGACAAGAAATACCTGACCGAGTATATGCTGCAGAAGCACGTCCACCTGACGCACGAGAAGGTGGAGGCTCAGTCCTGTCACCTCTGTGGGACCAAGGTGTCCACCCGTGCTTCCATGAACCGACACTTGCGACGCAAACATCCTGAGGTAAGTCCGGGGGGGTGAAATATAATAGCACTGCTCTTTATTTTTTTCCACAGGTCACTGTGAGTTTGTCATACTGAATATGGAATGCTGTTGTGTTGGAATGTAGCATTGCCTTCATGTAGAAATATGCATTTTGTGGGGAGAGTGTGTGTGTGGGGGGGGGTTCTGTGGTAGAACAGGTTAAACAACAAATTCTCAACACCGCACAGAGGTCATGGTTTGAACAGTTGAAATGTGTTTGCGACTCTTTGGTGCATTTTATTTGGTGACACATAATTAGAAGGCTTTTAGTGTTTGACCCTGTGTCATTCTGTAGGTGGTGGCTGCAAGAATGGATGACTTTGATGATCTGCAGGAGACTCCGACCATCAATGATTCATCCATCAGCATCGTGCAGGTTTGAATACACAATGAAAACTGTTTTTACTGGATATTATTATTATTCTATTTGTCATATATGATTTGGTATATATTTGTTATCATACATGTCTTCATCCATTGTCACTTCATATTAGGCCAGTGTTTGTGAATTTAAAGTGTATCAGACTACTCTGTGATGGCCAGCAGTCTGTCAAACAACATCCCCGACATCTCATGTAAAACCTCCGTCTCTTGTCTTTTCAGCCGACTCTGCCTCTGGACAAGGACCTCTCTCCTCAAGAAAGGCCGTTACGGGTGTTCAGACACGGCAAGAAGAAGCAGAGAATATCCGCTGAGCCCGAGCTTTCGGAGTGCGACGAGTTTGTCGATTTCCCTGAAACCAGTCACGAACCTATAGAATTCAACGCAGTCATCGTGGGAGAGGAGACCGAGACGAGCTCCGCTGTGCAGAGCATCCAGCAGGTACAGACAACTGTCTGCTCTTTTATATCTTTTATTATGTCTTTTACTTCTGATCCCATATGAAACAGCAAGTTCTCTGTTTAAGTAATGGCCAAAGGCTAAGAGTTTGTTTGGGGTTTTTTTGCTAAAGAGCCAGATTTGCATCCCATGTTCATTAAAGGAGTGCTTAAAGCACATTAGCTCTTGTTGCTAGATCTGATTTGTTTAAAGTTGCTGTATTTTACTATTGGATATACAGTATTGTCAATGAAAGTCATACTGTAATGGGTAGTTTTTTAAAAAATCTCTTGCTGCAAAATGGAGAACTTCAGAGTAATATTAATAAATACAGAGTTATATTAATAATGTACTTCTATGAAAAATGTCTCACTGTCATTTTCCAGGTGGTGGTTCTGACCGACCCCAGCACTCAGTCAACCGCCTCACCCAACAGCTCTGTGGGTCTGACCAACATCACAGTAACGCCCATCACCAGCCAAGCCCCTGCCCAGTTCACCAACCTGCAGCCTGTTTCTGTGGGTCACCTGACCGCAGGCGACCGGCCCCTCACCCTGGACAACTCCATCCTCACGGTGACTTTTGACACGGTCAGCGGCTCCGCCATGCTCCACAACCGCCCCACTGAGCTGGTCCCAGAGACGGTAGGTCCTGGAGGAGGCGCCGCACAGCAGTCAGTCACGCACTTCATCAATCTCACCACTTTGGTCAACCCTTTGAGCCATCAGCTAGAGGCTCCAACTCTGGCCTGGAGGCCCATCCCTGCAGCTGAAGGCAGCCAGGTCCAACCCGTGGTGGATGGTGCCCAGGTGGAGGGTCAGGAGAACCAGAATCAGGGTCCGGAGTCCGGGCCACCTGTTCAGAGTCAGCAACCTGCTCCACAGCAGCAGAGCAGCTCCACACAGATGTTCAGCTACTGAGTCCAGACTGGAGGTGCTGGTCACCTCGACCTCACCAACATTGTTGCGTTGTAGAGTAGATTTATTGACTCACCCAGATGCCTCTACAGCTCCATGGAAATCATTCAAATTATTTTTTTTATGTGAACAAAACAAAGTCTGAATTGAAGATGAACTGCCTGATTCACTGACACTCCTCTGGAAGATTTCCATTACAAACCAAAGCAACACGTGGAATATTTAAATGCCTTATCAGTCATTTTAGAGTCTTGCATGTTTATCAGGATGAAACTGCTGCTCGGAAATAAAATATAAGTGTACCAACAACACAAGACACACACACACTGTGCAGCGGACAAGTCCGATAAAGACCCCCGTGCCACTGGGGGCTGTCATTCTCCTTGAGTCTTTATTTTTGAATGCACTAACTGTAGCAATCATTGAACTGTCTGGAAATACTGAACACATTTTGTACTGTTATTTTTAAACAAAATATACTTCCTGAAATGTCTCCTGACTTTGTATTTAAAAAATATATATTTATAAATACATGAACTTAATGCATCAAAGTGGCTGTGCTTTATTGGCAGTAAGGTTTGTTGAGCAGAAACAAAATTAACCAAATTATTCTGGACTCTGGATAATAACCACTCTCCATAAACTTTAAAAGGATGTCATCAACCACCAATAAAATAAAAATCAGGAACAAGGAAACTACAACACCAAATTATATTAAGTTAGTGATACACACCTACCACTTGTGGGTGATGAGTGATCACCAATTTCTCTGAATTGCTGTGGTAACTTTTTATTTACTGCAAATAATTAATTAGTTGTTTGTCAATCATACCACGAAAGGCAGAAAAATGAAACATTCTGCCAGTAAGTGGCTGTACCGACCGCATTTCTTAATCAAATTGCATCATAAAATGTCACTCCAATGTAGTACATGAATAAAATAGATATCTTTCTATAGTAAAAAATGAAAATAAAGATAAAGTTTATATGTCAACCTTTAATACAGTTGCTACTATTAAATATGCACACAACTTAAGCAAAGCTAATTTTGCTGCCGCACAGCGTGAATATCTGTCATGAGGAAACACATGTAGAGGAAAGGCGGTTGTGCTTTTCTGGCCACTAGGCGGCGATATTCTGCAGGAAATAAAATTTGAAAAACAAAACCTCTTATTTGATTCAAATGGAGGAACAATACTGGGACTTAAATACATGGATAATCTTTGTAGACTGCCACAATGCCAAACAATAACAACAATAATATTAACAATAATAACAGTTTGTTGATGTTTGATAAAAATGTGATATGTGGACAGTAACATATTGTACATTTTTTAACATAGAAATCTTGTTGAGCTTGTTCGTTCTATTGAGCTATGAAAATAAATGTTACACGACAGAAGTAGCCATTTCTATTTTGTGGCTAACAGAGAACAAATGATTAGAGATTCCTGACCTAGTGTAACCATGCTTGGATCAACACTGTAATATCATGTGACTGTTCACATAAAACTTTTGTTTCTAACAAAAATATTTAGATTTTATTTAATTTTTAAGACTGAATCTGTTGAAACGTTGAGTTCGGTATAGATGGCAATACTACGTTTCACGCCGCACAGTGTGAGGCCTTACAGCAAAGTGTTCCTATCTGATCAATTGATCAATTACTGTATTTAGGGAACAGATTAAATTCCCCCCACAATATTGAGCCCTCACTCAAATAAATCCAGGGACATTCAAACACAATATAAAAGTTCCACATATTTTTCAACAAGGTAAAAGTTAATGTGATGTAGTTGGTCAAGCTGTACCACAGTTTTATTAAATAGAAATAAATAGAAAATAATTTCTATTTAAGTTATTTTAAATAATTGAACAAAACATACAACAATGGTCATTGTACTTCAATCATACATAATACTTCTTGTCATGATGTATGATTAAATTCCAAACAAAGGAAGACATTTTCTCAGACGGATGAGCTGGACAATCCTGACTGACCGTCCTGTTCCCTAATCAGAGCAGGGACAAAGAACAGAAACCTGTAGTGACAACAACAGAAGCTTCTTTTTTATTGTGATGACCTGTGGGTGTGATGGCACCCACACCAACCGATCCTCATGTTTGAATACACACCGTGTCTCAACATCACCCCTGATAACACACTATTTATACTGCAGACCTGGGCCTTCCAGTTGTGTAATTAAACCTGAGGAGCAGGGTGGAGCCAGGTGATATCATGAGATCATGAGACACTGTTAGAGCAGAGCTGGGCACAGAGGAGAGGAGCTATTTACTTTCTTGAAGACAGAGTAATACTTGTATTTAATCAGTCAGAATCAGATGATCCCATTTCATTCTTTATATAAAATCAAGGTTGGGATTCTGGTTCATCAGAGGTCACAGGTGTCAGTACAGCTAGTATGTACAGTAGTATGTGTATATATGTGGTTTTGTAAAATTTTTGAAAATGTTAGGTTTCCTCTTTGTTACATGACACTTCCTGTTGTGTGTGTAATTGGAACACACCTGTGAAGTGAAATTTGGGAACCCTTTCATCAGGACACCATTAAAAAAAGGTCCACAGTTTTTCCGCAGTGAAGGTTCCTCACTGATCACACGGCAGATTCATTATTCCTGTTGCCATCTTAAGCGAGAGAAAATAAAGTAAAAAAACCAAAACTCCTTTCTTCCTCTTTGTCTAACTGCTGTATCATCAGCCTTACTGCTCATTTAAACACAATGTTTAAATGGGAATAAAATAAACCTTTTTTCTGGTATTTTTATGCAGTATATCAACAATATGTATCTCATGTCATTCAGAGATACCAGCTCTGGTCTGAGAAAGTAATGAATGCTGCTGTTATTGCCATCCAGACATGAGGGACATCAAGTGAAATCATTCTTTGTTCTCTCCGTCTGCTCAGAGAAAATAGTTAATTATTTTCACAATCGCACAGAAACGAGGAACACACGCTGCCAGGAGGCAGACCATCAAGAAAAAGAAGAAATGTAACTAAATCAAGTTCCTGCTTTACACTCTGTGTACTGTGTACTTTTTTTTTTAATTAAACTCAGTTTAATAAAAGAACTCATTCATCCAAATACTGATAAAAAATATAATTTAACAGTTGTGAAGATTGATGCCAATCAGTAATAATATCTCATTGGACTAAAGTAAACACACCGTCTAAATGAAGATTATTTGTCATTCAATCTGCAGGTACACACACACACACACACATTTTCGACACACCTGTCATTAGTATTTGAAGGTATGTATGAGGGAACATGATGTCCTCCTGCCATGAATGCAGTAATGCCAAAGAGATGAGTCCAGGAGTCTTTTTAAAACCGCCTTTTTTATTATTATTTGTCCATGTATCACATGACATATTGTTCAAGTAAAAAACTTTCCCTCCTCTGACCTCAGGCACATTGGAAGAATTATCTGCTCTTCTCCACCAGGACAAAGGTGTGTTTGTGAAAGGACACATTCCTGAGCGGAGCCTTCGCTGTTTACACAGATTATTCTCTCCTTCCTATGGCAGAAATACGAGAAAGGGTCTGTGGGGCATGTGGGAAACTATTGTCTGAACCCACTGTCGCACCACTAAGCCTTGTGTTGCTCTTGTCCTGATGCATTTTTTCATATCATTCCGTGTTTCAAAAGCAGGAAGTGATGTCACCGCCTGAGGCCCAACCCCTTTTTTACCTGAAGAGAGGGAAGGGCCACAGTAGAGTTAGACTAGGGGAAAAACAAGGAAGAGTTCACAGGCAGACAAGTCGGTGTGAATGTTCACTTCTCAGCAGTGTGCCTTGGAGACAAAGACAAGAGGAGTTTACCCAGGTGGTGGGTTTCCCAACACAGATATGGATGTTCCTGATTCTCCCAACTGGAATATGGGGCTGTTAAGGACCTTTGATTCCTCAGAGTTCAATAGCTGGGAAAAGATTGGATCAGGCGGATTTGGACAAGTATACAAAGTCCGGCACAAACAGTGGAAAACATGGCTGGCTATCAAGTGTCCTCCCTGCCTTCATGTGGATGACAAGTAAGTTACAGCTGTTAGAGCACATGGAGTTTGGTCGCACACACGAGTGATTGACACGACGTCAAGTGTACGACTGAAGAGTCTGATAATGTTCCTGGTGAACTTTAAACTTCTTCTCTACGTAACGTATTAAAACATCACAGGGAGACAAGACTGAACATGTGCTTATGGAAAAGTGTAGGAAAACTCCAATGTCTTAGAACGTTGAACTTCAGAGAAGGTGTGACTCACTGGACAAACGTCTGTACACACACACACACCGTTACCTCAGAGCGGCTGTAAAACAGACACATATGAAGGTTCACTGACACTAACATGCTGATTCATCCTTTAGGCAAAAAGTAATTCCACACTGCCCAGGGACACACACACAGTGAACATGAAAGGGTTCACAGCTGATTCGGCCAATCCGACATGACGTTGCCATGCAGTGGCCTCAGGGAGGGGCTGCTCTGGTGGCCGTTATCCACCTCTGTGAGGACAACAAGGTGTTTGGTTGATCACATAACCTCTTTCATCTGGTAACATTTTGGATTTACATGTACCTTATGTAAATATGTATGAAGAAGGGCCCGTTGGTGCTGTCCTCTAAGAAAGATCACCTGCAGCGGAACAGGAAACACACCAGAGCTTTAGTCGGTCTATGCGTTTATAGTGGGGCGTCAGTTTAGAACACTGAAGGGCAAAGTTTTCGATTCGTAGGCCACAATGGGTTCTAAAATGTGATAGCTGGCCAGGAGCAGAGAGATGGAGTGTCCATGTGAATTAAGATAAATATAAAAGCTGTACATAAATGTTTTTAGTCTTTATTACCTCTCTCTGTATTTTTTGAAAACAGCAACATGTCGTGGCATATGAGACCAACAGCTGTTGATCGGACTTCAGTAAAAAGATAATTTTGTTGTCCACTCTTTACCAAACCTCCGGCGCTCACTGTCCACTTTTCTGTTTTTACTGAAGGGTCAGAAGTTCAAAGAAAAGGCAAAGAGAAAGATAATACACCTCACCCCTGTAGACTGTCATCTGTTGGGGGAATGCAGACATAGCAGTAGAAAACAGGACAAAACTGACAGAAGTCTAATGATGATATTGATTAATATAATGTGGATGTGTTTGGCGGGTCGTATTATTATTATTATTATTATTATTGACAAATAAATGAAGAATGTCAAACCTATGGTTCGCTTACTGCCAAAGAGGATCAAAACAACTTAATTATTTCTGAAGAGTTATGGATACATCTCAAAAGTAGAGATGTATCCAGAGTATTACACACTTATATACACTTACATATAAACACACAATTTGCTTCTAAGATTTTACTTATATTTATGTCCATATATGTTTGTGTGTGTATATGTATATAGAAGTGTGTATATATATACACATATGTATATATAAAAATATATATTTACATATGCGCATATATGTATATGTGAAAAGAAGCAAAATATGTGTATATATGTAAGTGTATATAAGTTGTGTATATATATATATATATATATGTGTGTGTGTGTGTGTGTGTATACTCTTGAATGTAAACCAAAATGAATTGACAGGTTAATTGACAAATTTCTTTCCTAAAGCCAAATAAATTCCAGTTGACATCGTCTCATCACAGAACCTGCAGCGTTTGAAGTGGTAAATCTTAAACACATTCGTGTCTCTGGCCTTACCATAAAACAGGAATGTCGCCCCCACCCTTTCTTTCAAACCTGTGGTGCAACTCAAAGCAACCACTGAACCTGAACCACAGATGTTATCACCTCCAAACATCTACAGGTTGCATAAACAGTCATTTGGCTCCGGTCTGCATTGACCTACAGCTAACATGCAGCAGCAGGGACTCAAAGCCACCTTTGTCTGCTGCTTATGTTGTGGCACAGACAATAGAGAAGCTGCAGGACTGGTTGTACCGGGCCTGTCTCTTACAGCGAGGACATTGTAGGGTTCTGCAGAGTTGTCGAGGAGTGCTTCGGATTAGTCGAGATTTAGCAAACAAGAGCCTGTCCATTCTCTTACCCTATGTTTTGTTCTTATTCCCTCGTGCAGATTTAAGGGCTTGTGTCTCCTTAACCTTTACAAAAACAAAGGTGTATAATGTCTAGACTCCGTCCTATAAAACATGAGTTTTAGTAATCTGATATACTCCATGTTTCATGAGCGGTAAAAAAAAATGATTTGTCTCATTTGTCCTCATTAGAGAGGTTGCTTTTTTTTTTCCAGCAACTTGTGTTGCTTGACTTGGCGCTGAGGCCACGAATGACCTGCTCACTTGTGTTTGAGTTATGTCAGCAGAGCCAATGGACTGATAAAGGGAGCTGAGCAAAGATTGAGCAACGAATGAGAACAAGAGCTCTCCACGTGCATTCCAGGCTGAGCCTGAATGTCCCATTAGGTCTCTGAGGGCCCACCAGTGGCAGTAGCAGTGTGTGGATTGCGTGCATTTTTTTTCTAAATTAATCGTTAACGCCCCCAGTCGTCACACTTTCTCAGTCCTCAACCTGCGCCTGCATAGCTGGGGGTGCGGGAGCAATGATGTGCAACGTTCAGGAATTTGGGTTAAGACATATATGGTGCCAAATGTAACAGACGCATGAGCACATTCTGACCTCGCAGTCATCAGGTAAATGTTTCATGGAAGAATAGTCAGCCGTGGAATGTGGAGTAGCTGGTTAAAAACTTACTTTATGTCTTCTGACAAGTGCTGTGACCACGAATGACGTTATCGTTACATTAAAGTATGGTTTTAATTACAGAGAGCGGTCTGAGCTACTGGAAGAAGCTAAGAAGATGGAGGCGGCCAAGTTCAGATACATCCTTCCTGTGTATGGTATCTGTGAGGACCCCCAGGGCCTGGTCATGGAGTACATGGAGACCGGCTCCTTGGAGACGCTGCTGGCCACGGAGCCGCTGCCCTGGGAGCTCCGCTTCCGTATTATCCATGAGACCGCAGTGGGAATGAACTTCCTCCACTGCATGAACCCACCGCTCCTCCACCTCGACCTGAAGCCCGCCAACATCTTGCTGGATGCCCATTATCACGTCAAGGTAGGGAAATTAAATCGATGATGTAAAACTAGAAAACACAGCGGTGTCATGTTTATGAAGGAAGTTCCAGAAAGGTCACCGAGGATTTGGAGATGTTTAAAGACACCCCCTCCTGTCTCTACTGGGGGGGTGCTGTATTAGCAATATCAGTCAAGTGTCCTTGTACAACATTATAGGCTCCACATAAACCCAATCTTGTAGCTAAGACAAGTATTACATTTAGCTCTTGAGACAAGAGACCACAAAGACATGTGATCCAGCAGTTAACCACAACAAGACAGACGAGGTAACGCCACCTGTCCTGGCCCCAACCCTTACCTTTCTCTCAGTTAGCTTTATGGGCAATTCTGTATCCTTTGAGTCACTTGATTGTCACGGATCAGTTCTGTTATTAATTCCCACTCTCAGTTATCAGTAGTGTCAGTATCAAAATGAATGAGATCACTTTTGTATTTACCATGAAATCTTATCCCCACATAACCAGCATTATTATTATACTGGCTTCTTTTGGCAGCATGTAGTGCAGATATTAATACCATTTTTTCAAATTTCCAAAATTACAATGTGAAACTTACTTGATTATTGATTTATCTCCACATAGGATCATATTTTTTTAAAGTCAACATTAAGTTAAATCAGAAAAACTACTGATCCACACCTCTGCACTGACTTTGGAAATCCACTGAGAAGTTGCCCATATTATTTCCACTTGCTTCCTCTTCACAGCTGGGCCTCTTCTGATTCATCACACTTTAACAATATTCAACTACTGAGAGTTATAAATGAATGCAGTTTCCCACAGTGTCAGAACACGATCTGACCCATGTATAAATTCATAAAGAAGTCCTAAATCCAGCTTCTATTTTCTTAAGGGCAAAACTTTAGCTCTGTCACAAAGTAGATGCTAAAATACAGATAATTCCTTTATTTTTTTAAATGTAATTTATTACTGTCATCACTCCCATATTTAAGGAAGCACATAAACACCAGTTGCCTGTTACATTCATTTATTTAATTGTTGTTTGTGTATCAAGGTTGAAATCTTGCCCTTGAAATGATTCATTACCAAAAAAAGTACTGTTGCTCTCTGATGTTTTTATGGGATTAACAATATGTTATAAAAAAAAATGAGCGACACAAATCATTGTCAACTCAGAGAGATCGTCTTCTGTCAGAACTTGTTTCAAGTGTAATAATCAGATGTAATCTAGCCACAGCTGCCAATGTTGAAAAACTCAATTTTTGTTGTTGTTTTTTTTTTTAGTAAATTTCAGCCACAAAATGCTTTTTATTTGACCTTTCATCCATATTTAAATGGCAGCTCTGCACATGCTCTGGACAGGCAGCTGTCTCTCCTCCATTGTCCAAACGCTAAACAGCCCGACAGCACTAAGAGCAATGGGTGGGAACTGTCATCTCTGAGTCTAATACCTGGATGTAAACACCTCACTGGGCCTGTCTCTACAGGATTAATTCAACTCCTATTAAACCTCCCTCTGTGGATGAGTGATGTTGGAGTGTGTGGGTGTGCACTCTTCCACACAAACGTGATGGGCCTCTCCTGTCTTCACTGCAGGCCAGAACACGGCCCCGTTGCCCTCATCATACCACTGGCTGCACATAATGAGAGCTTAGCTGGCTGTCGCATTCATGGAGCGATGTTAGTCATCAGAGTCATGAGAACGGTTGCTCTCTTTGACGCTCTAATCTGATCTTTTTGTATCTCAGATATCTGATTTTGGCCTGGCCCGCTGGAACGGCCTGTCACGCGCCGATGACATTAGCCGAGATGGCTTCTGTGGAACCATTGCCTATCTGCCACCTGAGAGCATCATCGAGAAGGACAGAGTGTCAGACACCAAGCATGATGTCTACAGGTTGGCATCATTAAAAAAAAACCTTTGTGCGTGTGTGTGTGTGTGTGTGTTTGGGATAATACAGTGTTGTCTGGCTATTGTGATCACTTAAGCTCTTCGTCTTATTAGTCACTAGGGTTGGGCAGTAAGGTCCAAAAATCAGATCTTGATTTTTATTTTTTTAAATCTCAATATACAATATACAAAGCATTACATACCTAACTCCCATAAGAAAAAAAAATACAGTATACATATTATACTGTGCGTATATGTATATATATGTATATATACACGTATATGTATGTATAAATGTATGTATATATCTGTGTATATATGTATACATGTACTGTATATATATGTGTGTATATATATACATATATATGCATATATCCATATGATGAGATAGTCTTGTTCTATATTGTGTATTAAAGTACAGGATATTGATTGTTTATTCTGTTATACATGGTTGCTTTATTATCTTTCCACTGATTTTGTTTTATTTTATAACCTGATAAAATCATAGAATTTATAATCCCATAATCTTTCTGTTTACATTGACTTTAATTTATACACTGTAACACAATTTTGTCACTTTTGCAAAGTTGTTAATTGAGTAACTGCTGTGGCAACATTTCCATTTTGTACTAATCCATCATTTTACTGTCACTCACTAACTTTCCTTTTCATGTTGTCTCCCCCTGCAGTTTCTCCATTGTCATTTGGGGGATTCTCACCCAGAAGAAGCCTTATCAGGGTAAGACTGTATTCCTGCCAAAGAAAATAACAATTAGGAATGTTAAAAATGGAAGAGCTGATTGATGTTCTGTCTGAGGATATATTTTGGGCTCTTTCTCAACGTTCACTCATATTTTTGTAACCTTTTGATTTTTCTGCTCGAGGCTAGAAGGATAAAACCTCACTTCTTGAGTGGTAAATTCCAACAAAAACAAAACAGAAATCTACGAAAAATCGTCACATCCAACGAGTATTCATATAATAAACATGTTCATGTTTTCCAACATTGGAAAATATTTTGTAGATTTGTATCTATTTTTATCATTGCTGTGAGCTCTGGAGGACTCTTTTGTTTACATTTACACAAGGTGTGTTTGTAGGTGTACAGGAGCTGTAGTGTGTGTGTTTGCTCAGTGAATTCCACAGTAGAGAGGTGGACGGGGCTAAGCTAGCTAACGGGCAGAGTGTTTTTTTTTCTCATAGGCATATCAGGTAGCACTTTGCTTTCAACTCCTTTTAAATAGAGAGCTGTCAATCCGACCCTGGCACTGCCTATGTCCATCTGGGCATTATTAAAAAGTGAGGAATGGCCAGGTCACAGTCCCTTCCCCTTCTCCTCCTCCACCTCCTCCAACCGTGAAGGGTATTATGGTCACAATAGGCGGTGAAGTATTTGTGCTTAGAGCCCCTATCTGTTTGTTCTGAATCATTGACTCGGCCGAACCCACATCTAGATAGAAAGAGGTCAGGTCTGAAAGCCTTTACCTCTCTGCTCCCATGGGAAACTGCAGCACACACTGCCTTATCTGTACACATAGTAAGACGGAGATGAAGCCAAGCGTGGCTGTCTGTCTATACTCTGGTGCCAGGCTTCATTTCAGGGTTAGGAAATGTCATACGTTTTTTTTTTGGTGTGAAAAACCCATAACAATCTGCTTTGATGTTGGTGTGAACTGGTGTAAACACCTGTGATTTGTTTTTCTAGGAGAAAATAACATTCTGCAGATCATGGTGAAGGTGGTCAAAGGTGTGCGTCCAGACTTGGCAGCAGTACCACGTAGTCGACCTTCAGCCTGCATGGGTTTCCTGAGCCTCATGCAGCGCTGCTGGGCCACAAATCCTGAGGCTAGACCCAGCTTCCAGGGTGAGTTGTTTATTTTTTTTATTTTTTATTTTTTCCGTAAGACAAATAAAATGAAAAAAAGATTACTGCTGAAAGTGGAAAAAAAGAGTTGAAGACACGCTCCCTGTGTGATTCATTCAGATTCATGGGTTTCACAATAATCTACAGCTGCCTTTCTACCTAGACCACACTAAAGTGCTAGAGGTTAAAACAGCTATTTTCTGCTATTTTATATTATATTTTATTTCATATAATACAAGACAACTGACTCAGCTGCAACTATAAAATGTAATTTTTTGAATCACGTCTCATCATGCTGGACGTATAAAACATTTCAGGCAGAGGTATCCAGTGACTAAGTACCATGAGCCTTAGATCTTAGGCACATCCAAAACCAAAAATTAATACAGTAATATAGTTTAAGGTAAAAGATTTGAATCGAGAGCTTTATACTGAGTCTTTGTCTTTACAGAGATCACATCTGAAGCTGAGGAGCTCTGCTCCAAACCACAGGAAGAGCCGAGGACCCCCACTTTATCCACTTCTGAGCCAGAGCCCTCATCCAACAATGCTGTCAACTGTGACCAGGTGGGAAAGAAAAATGACAGCGTCTCACGTCTCATTAATGTACTGTACTACTACACTGTAGGACGAGGAGAATGGTCTTCACTGTGACTTTGTCACTCAGGTGTTGCACAATGTTTGTTCCTGAGCAACAATTACACCTGACAAATGGAATGTGGTCTGATGGAATTGTTTATCCCTTTTACCGTCTTGTCATGCCGTCATACTTGTCTGCTGTTTTTGCCCTTGTGTACATGACTGTGAACAAATATCCTCCCCTTTGTTTAAGTAAAAGCAGGAGACAGTTCTTAATTGGCTGACATCAGATGTGTGTACTGAAAATTACCGCAGTGTCAACATTCATTATCCACCACGCACAACAGTGCAGCTCCACCATACCTTATGCTGAACATAATGGAATGTAAAGAGTTTCAAAGAAACACCTTGTTCCATTATGCTAATGAGGCTTTTTGCTCCACAGGCTAACGACAACAAGCAGGTACGTCCAAAGTCTGCAATGCTGCCAGAAAAAGATTACAGCTTATCAGAGCTGCTGAGCCAGGTCGATTCCGGAATCTCCAGGAGTTTTGATCGAGTGAAGGAAGATGGCTGCCACAGCAAGGAAAACACCAGCAAGAGGCTGTCGGGCATCTCCTCTGCCGATTCGGCTTTCTCCTCCCAGGACTCCATCACGCTGTCTTTTGAGAAAGAAAGTACATGTGGTGAGACAAAGTTCTTACCTCGAAAGCTTTATTTAACTCTGAAAAAGTTGATTTTCTTAAGTCATGTCTTAGTCATGACTTAGACCAGTGGTTTTCTGATTAATATTTCTGATTTCGTTGTGCAGTTACTTACTTTTTGCCTCACTGTTTAGATTCTGCTGAGGTCCAGAAACGGAAACTGTGTGAGGCCATCAGGACCAAAGACATGGCCAAACTGATGAAGATCCTCCAGCCTCAGGATGTGGACCTTCTCCTTGATGGAGGAGGCAGTCTACTGCACCACGCTATCACTTTGAACAACGAAGAGGCTGTCAAGTTCCTACTCCTGAATAATGCCAATCCTAACCTAGCCAATGCCCGTGGCTCCACACCGCTCCACTTGGCCACAGAGAAGCACCTGAAACTTCTGGCAGAACTTCTGCTCAGCCGCCGCAGCACCAACATCAACGCAAAAGACGAAGACCAGTACACAGCTTTACACTGGGCAGCCCAAAATGGGGATGAAGCAATCACAAGGCTGTTGCTGGACCGGGGGGCGGCCATCAATGAGACCGACGGCCAGGGCCGAACGGCAGCTCATGTGGCCTGTCAGCATGGTCAGGAGAATGTCATCCGTGTTTTGCTGAGCCGTGGTGCGGATGTTCGGATAAAGGGAAGGGACAACTGGACAGCGCTCCACTTGGCTGCATGGCAAGGACATCTGGGTATTGTTAAGCTACTGGTCAAGCAGGCTGCGGCCGATGTGGACGGCCAGACAACAGATGGTCGCACACCGCTGCATCTGGCATCAAAGAGGGGCCAGTACAGAGTGGCAAGGATCCTGATTGAACTAGGTGCAAATATTCACATTTTGTCTGTCGAGTTGAACACGCCACTACATGTCGCAGCTGAGACCGGTCACACCAGCACTTCACGCCTTTTGATCAAACACCATGCAGATATTAACGCCCAAAACGTCCACGGCCTGACTCCTCTCCACCTAGCTTCCAAGCAAGGTCACCTGGCAACTGTGAAGATGTTGATAGAAGAGGGGGCCGACCCCTACAGATCCAACCATGCCCATCACACTGCATTTCACCTGGCAGCAGAGAACGGACAAAATGAAATCCTGAAAGAGCTGCTCCTCCACTGCCCCGATGCTGAATCCCTATCGGACGAGGAGTTGCTCAGCGTTTTGCCCCCAGAAATTCAGGCTAGATACTCAGAAGTCGTTACGTCACTGGGGCCCAAAGAGGGCCAGGATTTGGATGTTGAGAATTTGGTTCAGTCAGAAGGTGAGCCATCTACCCCAACAGAGGCAAAGCAGCTCCAGAGGAAAGTGGTCATTCTGAAACTGACGGAGCGTAGTGACAATGACTGCCCGGAGGTCAGCAGCTCACAGTGTGCCCCAGCGAACTGCTAACCAGAGCAGGGACACGGATAAGACTGTACACCACCATGTCCTGTGTCACTGTTTATACGCCACTGGTGCCGCCCAGTTATCTCTGTTGGACTTTAAAAGCCTTTTGAGCTCAGTAGGTAATTCATACTGTTAGAAAAAAAAGTTAATGTACATATGTAAACTGTGAATATAAGTATATAACCTTGTTTTGACTATAGATTTTTGTATACCTTTTTTATAACAAGCTAATTTTTTATGTAAAAAGCACACGTTTGTATGAGGACAATGGCCGGACCTGTGACAATTAAGGGTTTTCTCACTGTACTGCACAACAGTGGGTTCCCATGTGCATTATGTTTGGTCACAAGTCTTAATAGGTGAATGCTGTCCAAAGCCTGGCATTTTTTTAATAAACAGTATTTAGAGTCCTGTACCTGTTACATATTAGTGCATCATCATCCATTAAAATGTTAAAAATATGTTTTGACCCTGGTGTTTTTTTAAATAAGCCTTTAAATCCTTTGATTATTAAGGAGTGCCAAACTCAGACACAGCATTAACATTTATAGAACAGTCTTGTGCTTTGTCAGGGTGCCAGGAGTCGGGCCATGAAATTGACATGCACCCTGGGAAATGTAGATTACTGTAACTGTACGCTTGATCAGGATTGTAATTAAATAAAGTAGAATTGAGAATCAATTGCCCTGCACGCCAGAAAATGACCACAATCTGTTAAAGGTAAAATGTTAAATACACCCAGTAGGGGGCAGTGATGAACATTGCTGCATGTCTTATTACATTTTGTATCTACACCTTTGAATACTATTATAGAAATCTAGAAATACCAATCTACTCATATCTGCATTGTTATGCATCGTCACCTTGGTTCAAACCAAATAACTGATTGCTATTCATATTACAGTAAAATACAAAAACAGCAGAGAAAATTGACACTAAAAAAGCTGGTTCAAATACTTCCAGTAGTATGTGTTGTCCAAAAAAAACATGTTTTATCACGTCAGGCCACAAGAGATTTTTTTTTTCACTCCAGTTTGAGTAATTTTTACAGCTCCACCTAAATGTGTTCAGGATTTATCGGCCTCGGTGTTGGCCAGACTTGGCATGTCTGTGTCTGCAGCTTCACCTGTTGTATTATTATCTTTATGTCTACACTCCAGATCCCACAGAACATGCTCAGGTTGGCACAGACCATGGGAACGGCCCCTGAGGGGGATCGCAGGCTGTAAGATGATGAATGATTGAGAAGGGGCGCTGATGTTCTACCTGCAATTCCAGCCTGTTGGCTAATTCCTCAGACCATTTTCAACTTTTCATCGCCCACTGAAGCCAACCTGCCATCTCTGACGCCTCCAGGTTTGGGCTTTCTGTAACTTAAGAAGCTGCGCTGGTGGCTGCTGCTGGTAATTGTCCTGTTTTTAGAGCTAGTGTTTGAGGAAACCCAGTAAATGACTGGTGAAATGTGTGTAATCTAAGGGCTGCGTTTTGTGTACACAGCTACGTCCTGCTTGTTGCTAGGCGATATGTCTCTACTCCTGATATGAAGGAGATAATTTTGCTCGTATTGCACAGTCTTCAATTTTATATACTGTGATAAAGTGCTGGGTCTATGAGTACTAAATCACAGTGGACTGCTTGAAGTCACTTTGACATTGACAGACAAGCGAAACATTTTTTTGTGTAAATTATTGCCTTTTGTCACCACAGACATAAGATTTATATTTTATGAAAACATAAAGACACATACTCATACCATATATACTCTATGTATATATATACATACTATATGTGTACTATATTCACTCTACTTGCCTTGACTCCCATATAAACTTAAGTGAAAACATCCCATTCGTAGACTATTAGGTTTAATATGACATCAGTCCACCCTTTGCAGCTAAAACAGCTTTCCCCAATGTTGCACGTCTCTCAAACTTAAAATGATGCTTCTGAAGAAAAGCCTACTGAATCATTCTCTCTACATTAGTCACTAGGCATAAACAAAATTCAGTCTGAATGTTTGACTTCCTCATACGGCAGGTGTTATCACAGGTGTTGCAGTATGAGTTATCTGTTTTTTTCCACACACACAATGTGATGCAAAGCTGCTTTTGAAAGTGTCTGTGGCTTCAGGTCATACCTGTACATAAACTGTTACTTTACAGTATGGTGAGTTTCTAAATCATTCTGATTATCACAACATTTTTACACCTAGATGGCAAACTGTCACAATATTGTTTCCAAATCACAAACAAAATGTAATTTGGTCATTAAAAAAACCCAAGAAAGAACCCCATTATGATTTACATCACCTTAAAAATATATAAAAACAAATATATAGTATAGTTTGAAGTAGAAAATATATAGTGGGTATGTTGCTTTCCAACAGAAATATTAAAAGAAAACCACCGACTTTGTTTCAGTAACAATCTTGAGGCCATTCAATGAATGGCAGTGACAAGACTTATTCATCAGACAAGACGTCTGGTTTCTCTTTTGTTTGACTATGATAGGGACTTTTCATGAGTCATACTCACTGGTCCATCACAGCAGCAATAAAGATAAACCACAGCACATTCACTGAAGTGACGTGATGGTGATTACAACGACTGTGATCGACCAGTAAGGGGAAAAAACAAAGAATACAATTCAAATTAATTAATCAAATTTCCGCCATTGATCTTTTCTTTTTCGTTTAACTGTCTTCTATTACAACTGAAATAACATCTGGTCTACACACACTCAGAAATACAGAGCACATGCAGAGTGTTGTGTGCTGTTTTCCACCCACGATCTTCTTCCTTCCCTCCTCTCTCTCCTGTAAACCTCACAGAACTAGTTCAACAAGATCTGAGGCTGCGTCCTCAGATGTGAGACAGGCTGTGGCATGTACACTGCCTCAGGATGAGAACATGGATGTGGTTGCTCTTAGCAGTCAAACATCAGCCGATAAGACTTGTGATTAACTAAAACAGAATATACAATTTTACCTGTCACGGAAAGTGGATAGTTGATGAATAGAAGTTCACTGAGTAAAAGAAAGTGTTTTTTCACATAAATTTAAAAGAAAAAAAATACATGGACTGTTCGCTTCTGACACTTGTTTAACTGTTAGTAAAACATAACATTTTACATTTAAGAAACTGGATGGAGAGGTCCTAATGAAATCAGATCAAATCAACCTCTTTGTGTCACTGTTGAAGATGGCTTTGGAGGACAACATCTGCAATGTTAAAAAAAAAGTATCATTGTGTCAACATGTGTCCCTCCTGTGTGTTTATGACACTGCCGGTGAACAAGTCAGGATTTGTTTGATGGTGACATCAATTCTTGGCACCAGTAATTTTTCCTTAGAAATAAATTGCTGTAATTATTCCAAGTAACACATGATGTTATGTTTTTGGGTTATAGAAATTGCATGGTTAGAATAGAATAGAATAGAATAGATTGAGAATGGGAATGGGAATAGAATGGGAATACAATGATACAATACATTTTATAGAGATGCACAAAGAAAAACAAAATTTAATTGATGATACAGACAGAAATTGTGGGATTTTAACTGTTTAAATGTTTTTTCTTTTCGAAAAGTTTTGTATCACACTTGTATTTAACGATTTGATTGTGTCCGAACGTTTGCATGTCAATCAAAACCAATGTTCATTTTCAGGCGCAATACTATTTTCAGTCCAGGAGATGGCGTAATAAATCTATATTATAGGAAGTGAAGCATGAAAGACCGATGTAACTCATTCCCGAACGACTGGATAGAAATATATAGAAAAGATGGTTTCCATGGTTACTTTTTATTAGTGGAATAAAAGCTGTATTATTTATATAAATAAATAATAATTATTGAAATATTAAAAATACTAATGCTTGTGTTATGCATGACAGTTTGACTTATGTATAACTTAATGATACTTATATTAATACTAAATACTTAATTAATAATAACTTAATTAGAATAATTGGATTTACATTATATAATGAAAATACTTTAAATGTTTTATTGATATTGTATTTTTTCTGCCCTTTTTTATATGATCTTAATTCTGTAAATATATATCTTATTTTCGTTACTTCAACAGTTAAAGGTAGTAGTTTTATTATTTTGTGGCTGAAACTATTGATATTTAAATTTGGACTAAATTCCTGGTTTACTCTTCATCCCCAGGGCACCTGTTAATCTTGAACTGCAGAACAATATCCAGTCCTGTTTCAGTATTGAGCCAGTATACATTTTTCTTTTATCGTTCTAACTTTTAATGGTTGCAGGGTTGAGCCAATCCCAGCAGTCGCCCTATATATTCATGATCGTTTAACTCTCTGGCTCTGAATACACATACAGACAAACCATGGGTCAAAGGTGAGATGGTGGAGTTGACAAAACCTCTGATAAGAATAAATATCTTTATGGTGATTACTTTTCACCACAAAGATATTTATTCTCATCACCAGAGTACGTTGAGTCTGTAATATCACTTGGTGCAAATACACACCTAATAACTTGCTGGACTTTCGATGTGTAACCTGTTTTACTATAACAATATAGATCAAATTGATTTTAGTGATTGAGTTTTTTAAACGATCATTTTAATTTGAGGCTTGTGAGAAATATTTTAACTACTATTACTGCTACCATACATGTTTACAAACCAAATTGTATTGTCCGTTTTTCCTATAGCAGTACTTTCAAAATAAAAGTTAACAAAATACAACTATCCAGAAGTATTTTGTGAACATTTATTTTGAAAGTACTGCTATTATTTATTTTTTGACGAACAATGCGATTATTTGCAAGTTTGGAAAAACACTAAATATATAAAAACACTAAAATCATATTATTTTTTATTAGTTAGCCTTAAAAGTACCAACTGAATTTTTACAGTAATTGATGATAATTTAGAACTGTACAGGAACTGTTGTACTTAGTGAGAAACTGTTGTGGGTGTTTGTGTCTCAATCATTAACTCATTTACAAAATCCCCTTTAGACTTGTCTCCCTCTAAAGTGGAAATGTTTTGATGACGCAAAGAAGGACTGCTTTCGTTTCCTGTAAAGGGGGTGTCGCTTCTGCTAACACCTTAGTTGATATACAGCGCAAAGTCAAAACAGTTACTTGTGTGCAACCGATTTTATTTTCTCAATTTTTATAATACGTGGTGTTATTCTTTGTACTTGGTGTAAAGTGGTCACCGTTTAAAATTGTGGTGTTTTTTTATCACCCCTCCCTCGTGGCGCGTTGGTACATTCCGTTTAGACCCGCTGGTCTCCTGTAGCTGCTTTCAGTTGAGGGTTTTATCGTGACGTGAAGCGCGGTGTGGTGTGTTTATGTGCCCACCGCGTCATAAAACTGAACTGTCCGTTTAACAAAACGAATAACCGTCCGTCTGCAGGCCTGACCACAAGGGTAAGATTCACTCGAGACGTTTTTCACCAACTATTTATTGTACCTGTCTTAAAAATTAATAACTCGACGTCAAATAACGGTCACGAATCAGCCAGGGGATGCCAGAATGTGGTGTTAGCTGCACTTTTGTTAGCATTTGTTGAGTGGTCCACAATCAACCATTAAATAACAACACATGAGATTAACGTTTTGAAAGATGTACATTTTTATTAGATTTTTTTAGAGCTAGCAACTGAAGTATCATTCAACAGGCTTTAAGGGTTTTTTTTTAACGTGGGAAACACAAAGCGGAAAACCCAAAAGTTCAGAGGGTCGACCTTGTTGTCGCTCCTGTTAACCCACTGTGATCAAACAATGGGATCAGTGACGTATAGACAATTTCCCTAAACAAAATGTACATGTTTATTTGGATAAGTTAAATGTATAAAACGGTGAACCATGTAGGATTTTCAAAACAGCCAGTAGTCGTTTAGATTAGATTGAACTTTAATGATCCCACACTGGGGAATTGTGCTGCAGCAACAAAGGGACAGAGGTAAAAAACAAAAACAAAACTGTACAATGGAAAGCTATTAAGAAATAGGTCTAAATATACTACAAATATTCAATGAAAAGCATAAGAATACTAAATTATTACACATCTTAAGAAAGGATAGCACACAAGCAAGATTGGACTTGGTTCCTTTTTTTGTTGCTAAAGTTACATACTGTGGTTGGGTATCCTTTTCCTCACTACTCCTGTTCAAACATGTTGGAAAAGCCACAGTAATCCTTGAAACACAACATGTATTTACGTCTATTTGGTTCATTGTAAAAACATGTTCATCCATCATGGCGGGTTCTGTAGAGTAAACCCACTCTTTGTACAAATAAGAATGACTCAGTGAAGGTAACTCAATACTAAGGTTCCTCCTTATAAATAAAGATATTGTCATCACAGTAATAATTAACATTTGTGTCAAATCTTTGTCAATATGGTATGACAATATGGAATATATATTTTTGTTAATTTCAAACTGTAGACCTTTAAATCACTTTCTAATAAGTTTATCTTCCAGTTTTATGTTTTTGACTGCTCCTATATTAATATCTCGGTGTATTGGTCCCTCATTGTGATAGAAACATTTTTTACCCTTAAGTTGGTCAGATAAATTTAAAACCAGGAGAAAGGTATGATGACATTTTCCACTTTTTAATGCATTATTCTGTAAGTAATATTTAATAAATCAAAATGAATGTGATAAATTCCAGCCTGAGCAAACACACATGAGTCAATGGGTGAAAAATGTGTGTAGATAGTTGCACTTAGAAAACTGATGTGTCATACTGAGCAAATTAACTAGAGTTAAAGAGACATATAACAAAAATTACAATCTTGCTTTCTGTTAGGACAAAATGTCTCCTACAACATGTTGAGGTTAAAAGGAAAATGCATTATCAAAAGGTCCATCATTAGTTTTCCTTAGACCTCACACTGTAATAAACCAAAATCCATCCTTAACAATCCTTTCGTTAACATACATTTTAAAAATACCAAAATATTCACATAAGGTCAATTTATGAAGGGGGTTTTAAGACTATTACGCTTGACTATTGAGCTGGTAGCATTGACATCTGATTTTGGGCATGGTTTGGCTCTGGATCAGAAACAGACCATATGGTGCTGTCTGCAGGCTCTGTTCCATTTCATCTGCTGCTATGGTAATGTGGTAATGTATTCACCACATCAATGACGCTGTATAGTTGGTGCACATATTTAAGTGACTACAGAAGATGTCACATGGCCATGATCCCACCTAAGAATTTAGGCCAGCGAGCACATGGACTAGTCTCCTCTCCCACCTCGTCACCTGTTTGCTTTGATAGTGCCACCATTTTATCAATTTTACCAAAATAATTGGATCCAGAAAAACACCTCTCTTCTCTGACACAGTCAAATTACATTTTTTTCCGCCAAGTGTGACCTAATTAGTTTGGCGGTTGTGCACAGTTGCTGTATTTTAAGTATTTTTTTCTGTGTTTTTCTCCTCTAGACACATAATGGATGAAGAAGAGCAGTTTGTAAATATTGATCTGAATGATGACAATATCTGCAGTGTCTGCAAACTAGAGACAGAAACGGGGACCTTATCTTTCTGCCACGTCTGCTTTGAACTCAGTATTGAAGGTAAGAGAGAGAAAAAATGTAGCTTATTAGATGCCTGATTCAATCCATGGAAAGATGTATACAGCTTCACATATATATTTAATATGAAACATCTATTGCTGTTTTTTATATTAAAAGAATAACTATCTCTGAAAAGTGGGGAGCATTATGGCTCTCTCACAGCCTCCTGAAGACGAGTATATATAATATGTAGTTTGGCATTTAAGGTTAATATGGTTTTGTTGTTCTCGTTGTTTCTGGGCATTGGGAGATAAAATCTGTCATTTCGAAGCTATGTTCACAGGGTATCTTATTACGATAGAAAACCGCTGGTCTCTTCTTGGACACAAAAATAGATCTCGCCTTTTGATCATGATTTTCCGCTTCACTGTAACTATCCTCTCACTGTAAGCTGCAATGGATCCTGAAAGCCTTTCTGAGTTAATGCCTCATTCAAATATTGCCTACAAACACTTCTTTTATCCTCTCAGGCAATACAGATTAACATACAGGCTAATAGGTGTTAAAGACCAAGCCTGCACCAGCCAGAGGAGGCCACTGTGTTTTGACCGTTTGATGTTCAACTTTGAAACTGGAGCGCATTTTTTAACCTCAAATTTAAAGATGGTCTGTTTGAAGGAGAACAGGAAACCACTGTTGCTTAGAAATGGTTCAGTTTTAACATACGTTTAATTGGTCAACATAGGCCTTTTGGTTAAAAGTAAAGTTAAAAGTGCCGATGCTTGAGTGTGTTCTGCATGGGTTATTGTGTTGTGTTGTTTAATTAAAATGCATAAATATGAAAGGTTTCTATTTCGTGATCGTTTAATCAGGCTCATTAATTATTAAAAATATTATGGTGTAATAAGAAAGCCTGTCTCTAGATTGTTTATAGAAATAATTAAAACTTAATTATAGTTTCATTTTATTAAAGGCATCAGTCAAACATTTGTTAGTATAACATTTTGTGTATCAGCCTACCACTATGTTCCATACATTTCTTTAGGATACCTGTACGTTCCAAAATTAAGTTAATATTCTTAACAAACATGCCAGTTTTGCACAAAGATGAATTATGTCAACATACTGTAGTTTGCATGTTTCTTTTTTCCTAAGCAACAATAGGGCTATGTGCAGGTGTTACGGTATTTCTGTGGCAATAACATGATTTTATTTTTTATGACACTTTAGTGTGTATGTACCCTATATTTGATGCAGCTGAGTTTTTAACCAGTGCAGGGAAAACTGCTACGCTGCATGTTGTTGCTTGAGGCATGATGAACCTAAGACAGCATGTACTGGCTGACTGGCTGTTCATGTGGAGTTAATGGCTGCAGCTCAGATATGTTCTGCCTTTGTTGACCACATGCAAAAATACAAGAAAAGTACAGTTGAGAGATTTCTCTTGATGTGGCAGGTGCAGACAGTGTGTGTTTTTTTCTGGCCTAAACCAAATCATTCCACTTCAAGGTGACCTGCTGCTGCTGAATATTCATCACTCTCTCTACACGCTACACTGTCTGTGAATATTTACAGTATAAATGGCTGTTTAAATCTTCAAGGCCTGGCCATAATACTAAGCAATAAATAGATGATTAAATGACTATAAATGACTAAACCATATTTTATATATATTTGTATATTTTTAATATATATATTACACTTGAAATCTAAATATTGTTGAAATTCCAATTATGAGGCTGTATTATTGCCTAAGAATTATTCACTTTGCCCCTTTATTTTTATAGAATATGTAATGCAGTATATGCTGAATATAGAATATACACACAAAAGGAAGAAATCACAGCTAAAGCAACGTTATAGTTGTGTACCAGTACTGTTAAATGTGGGGGGAAGCAGCATACTTGTTGACGATGTCCCATCCGTGTTTTAATGTAAATCTTAGTGGTTATTTCCTGGGGAAACTGCTTTGGTTGTTTCCTTGGTACCACCAAACAACCAAATACAATTTTCTAAATGTATATGTTATTGCTGGATACTGTCTTACCTATTACCTTCTGCTATTTTGTATAATCATGCATTAGGACCCTTCTTTTCTGTTTTCACCACAGTATTTTGAGCTCTTCCCTACATGTGGTTACTGTACATAGCCTTGAGCATCAACACGGTTCAGTGAACAAGGGCTGCCGTTACTGCGGGTCAAGATTTGTACCGAAACACTAACACAGAGCATGAGGCTTTTCTCATGAAGTAATGTTTATGTAAAATGTAAGTGTGTGCCTTTCAGATGACAAAGATAATGTAAGGGCAGCTGATGTAACCAGTTAAACTTTGTGGACGCCTGAGTGAATGGAAACTAGTGAGCAAGTTGTATCCTCTGTACGGGAGCTTTTCCTTTGTTTGTGTTTTCACTGTCTCTTGTTCCTTCTTAATCTGCTCACGTAATGCAGATACATTTTTGCTGAGACTTGATAATAATACCAGCTGTGTAAAAGAGTGAAAAGAAAAAAATAAGTTTGCTTCAGAAGACAATACAAATGGTACTCAGTCCCTCTGGTGTTCTGCTAAGCTTGATGTCCTTTTCACTTACAAGCAGCAAATGTTGAAAATAATTTATCAAATTATCAGGCTGCACAAATTTAAACTCTGACAGGAAACCAGAGTACCTAATAAAAACCCACACAAACATGTAGAAAGGCAGACTTCAGACCAGAATAAGGGCTCCAAGTTTATTAATTTTGTATATCAGAATTATGCTACGGCATTAAGATTTAATTGTAAACAGCCTAGAAATTATCATGGGGCAATAATGGTGCAGTAGCTTTAGGTTTGATTCCAGCTACACTCTCGGGTCCTGACCTCTTTAGGAAGGGATATGTTAGGTTGACCCTGTGCATAAAAGTTGCATAGAGTCAATTTGCTGACTATCACTGTGACAAATCCCAAACAAAGGAGGAATAAATTATGTATTACATTATACTGTTTTACAATTTTACCCTAATATAAATGAATAGTCTAAACCAGTGGTTTTTGAAGTGGGGGCAAACTAAACTAAAATGTATGCATCTGGTCTTGTTTGTCGTGTTGCTGCTCCAAGTAATGCAATAAGTCATTGTTCGGTGCCAGTTGTCAACCGTCATGTGTCATTTTGTCACAATTTGCTGCGTGAGGTTGACACTTTTAATTGCATTAGTGTTCATACAGCTCAGGAAAGCCATAGGTTGTTATTTTAAATGTCTATACCCTTAACATGTACTGTATATTTAAATAATTCTAACAAAGTTTTGCTTTTGTGCTTTCCTAAATTTTGTGTTTGTGCTCGTAATTGTTCTTTTTGGAGTTGTTTCCAGTCACAACCTGATTCCCTGCCCCCTTCTATTACATTATTATATAATAACACCACACATAATCTCAAGATACTTTATATTTTGAAGTAAGAAATAGACTCAATAACAACACTAGCATACAAGCTAACATGTGGCCAATGGTTTCTCTCTACCTCATAGCAGAACTAATCTTAAGGTTTACAGCTTAATGCTTTGACAAGCTTTAAGTAAAAGCAGAAAACTGGGATTATAGAGACATAAATAGAGACTAAGTGTGGAGTAAAAAACTGAATGCTGAGTTCTTTCCATGATGCCAACCACAAAACCAGGGTTATAGACAGTGAGACTGGATGAAGTAGGACCAAACAGTGACCACTAAATACAGCGTAGCATTACAAATGATTTGTTGAGGGTTGAGTATTGAGCCAGGGGATTTTTGTAGAGTATTTCTTAACTAACCAACTAACTATTTCTGAGTTTACCCTGTGTTTAATATTATAAGCTCCTCAAATAAAATTAGTGTGCTAGATGTTGAATTTTGAACTTAATCTCATACTTAACTTTTGAACAAAGGAAGGGGAAAAACATCTCACTCATGGTCAGTGTTGTTTAGTCACACTCATTATTCCAGTCTTTAAGTAGGTAGTGCGTTTTCTTGGTTATCTTGTCGTCTGCTGCTTGATTGCTGTAAATGACACATGTGGTGAACCAACTTGGTGTATGTTTTATATTTACACTAGCAAAGAATGACTAACCTCCTCACCTCAGGTTCCAGCCCACACTATTGTCTGCTGAGAAATGGAGACCTCACATATTCTCACTTTTACTTTCATTTTTGACTTTTCTTCTTTCACCTACAGTTAACCTTTTTGTATAAGCTTCAGGCCATTTTACTTACAGTTTTAAAAATATACAGTATATATATATCTTGTTGTCTTTGTTCCATGTTGATTTATTGTGTCTCCTCTATATCGGTGACAGTGTGATGTGTTGAGACTCCTTTGCAGCAGCTCTGCTCAGGAATTTCTTTTTGTGTTGTTTGATTTAGTTAAATCTAAAGACTTTATGTAAGGAGTGTTGTTTATATATATTCCAAGGGTTTGTTTGTGGTGGGGTTTTTTTTCACTTTGGGAGGTGTTGAGGTACAACGAAATGTGACCTTTCTCCCTTCTGTTGTTCAGTCAAAATGTTCTGTGAGTGTGTTTTGGGACTGGATCTCTAATCCTTCCTGTGTCAACATTATTGGTTAATCCTCTGCTCATGAAGCAGCTTTCATATTACATCAAACCGTTTTAGATGTGAGTTCACTTCGTTTGCTGTCAAGTCCACCGTACATTTTCCACCCAAACAATGACCTGTGGCCTCACTGCTGCTCCGTTGTCTGATTTTAGGTGTGCCCTCTGCAACCTTGTTGCATTCTAAGTCCCTACGTGGCCACAGAGACTGCTTTGAGAAATGTCACCTCATTGCCAACCAGAAGCTGTCGTGTTCCAAGGTCTCCCCAAGTGCCTATGAGGGCATGAAGCTGGCCCTCAGCCAGAAACTCAACCGCATCATCCAGTATGCACAAAACAAAGACTCTGTCTCCTCTAACAGCAGACGAGGGACCAAGCTCCTTTGTTACAGTCAGCAGAGCGACAGTAAACTACTGCCCCAGTCGGATGGACAGGTGCCCCGCTACACACCCCATTGGGACACTGGCAAAGCAACTGGGCTGCCTGTTTATGCCATGGGAATGTTGGACTGCCACACAGAGGACGAGCTCGGGTTGCTCCAAGATTCAGACAGTGACGTTTGGCCCAACAATGGCAGGAGAGGACTGCGTGGGCGAAACCAACCGTCAGGGCGGTCCCAGATGCAGCACACACACCAGGGCCACAGCAGAGATGAATGTGAGATAATACATCATTTTGCAAACATATTTATATTAAAAATGTGTCTGGTCGACAGCCATATAAAACCTTAAGACATTTTCACCAAACAGCTCAGACACAAAACAGTAGAAATGTGTGTATTAGGCCAATGTATTGTTTACCCAGTTTCCTCTCTGTTCTGGTATCTCCAGAGACGTCCAAATATGTCCTCCAACTTATCTGTCTCTGCTAAATACGGTCAGACCCTGTAAGGATGTCTTCCACCCTTTAAACTGTTCTATTTATGTTATTAGTGGTAAATTACCAGCAAGTCACAGGTATGCTGTTTGTCAGCTTGTCTTTGTAAAAGTTTTTTTTTCCTTTGAAGATTACGTACTAGTTTGAACCTCTTGAAGCTTTTGTTGACATCTTAGTAACATCAGGGTTGTTTTGGATCATGTAATCCCACAATCTTCCCTTTTTTTCTCTAATCCATTGTTGACAATAATCGATAGGAATTTGACCTCCTACATTTTCTATCAACTTTGGTTGATTGGTTTGTCATATTTTATCAGTTCATAGTGCCATGGTATCCATTTACCTTAATCATCATGTTTCCTATAAGTGTGTGAGTAAAGCTGTAACAGATCCAAACTAAAATAACCCCTTAGATCATTGTTTCCCCACCGTTTTTTGAACCACTGCACTTGTTCAAAATCCCACAGTGTTTGCCATGAAATATAATGATCTTTATATTTCACTATGACTACACTTACTCTGTGAAACCTGAGCCTGTTTGGTTAAACATAACACTGATGTACTTGCAGGAATTGTAGGTGGTGGAAGAGTATTTAGTAGTTGTGTCACCGTTGCTCTTACAAACTGAGGCAAAGTACTTGCAGTAAATAATTGTTATCAGACCAATTAATTTAATTTTTATCATGTTTCCTTGTGTCATTTCAACAAGGGAATCTCTGCCTTAGAAAGTCAGTCACACTGGACATAGAATAACAAAACAACCTTGACATACACTAACATTACCACAGTGTGGTCCTACTTGTACTAATCAATATGTTTCTTCTTCTAGTGATTAAAATGAGTGTGGACGAGCTCCATCAGCTAAATGACCAGCTCTTAATGCACATTCAAAGTAAGTGTTTCCTGCGTCTGTTCATTGTTCTGCTGATGTTATATATACCCATTGTTGGGTTCTGTCACTGTCGTCTCCCACCACATTGTCCTCATTCTGTGGAAGAAACTGCTTTTTTGTTTAATTTTTCCGAACTCCCAGTGCTGAGTGTGAATTTTTTTTTCCGAACTCCCAGTGCTGAGTGTGAGTTCATGGATAAACAACAGAGGACTCAGTGAGTCGGAGGATTAAGCACTGAAATGCTTCTCCAGTCAAAACATGATCTTCCCTCAGCTGACTCTGTTGACCTCCATCATCTGTCACAAACAATTCATGGTCTGCTACATACAGCCATAGGCTAATCTATGTATAGCTCATCTTGAGGGTGCCGCTGGCAGGGTTGCTGAAAAAAAGACAGTTGATGAGTTGTTTTAAAAATACTGACCAGTCTTGACTGGTTTTATCAGTTGCTAACCTTCTTTGAGTTGTATTGCTGTTGGGTTCCTCTTGTAATGGTCAACATCAAGCCTTAGCAATGTCCCAAAAAAGGCAACAGGAGAAAACACAAGCAGAGGGCAACATTGCCTAAGAGTTTAAGACTGAGAAGATTGCCTTTTTAACAATAATATGGTTTGCTTTTTAGTTTAACTTTCACTGTTGTATACAAAGTGACATTTTTCACCAGAGTTTTTCTGCTTTGCCTAAGGCTGTCAAAGCAAAAATTAGTTTCCCAGTTCAGTCTGTCTCTTTCTCTGCCCTTTGTTCCTTTACAAATCATGTTGTTGATTTGTTTTGTCATTGTCTTGTTTTGTGTGTAAGTTAACCTTAGTGTGAAAGAAAATGCTGACTCACACTCTCTCCCCCTCTCTGCCCACAGAGGTCTTCGAGGAGCTGACTGTGGCAGTGCAGGAGAAGGACTCATTGGCGTCAGAGCTGCACGTGCGTCACATTGCTATTGAGCAGCTCTTTAAAAACTGTGCAAAGTTGCCGTGGCTGCACATTAGCAGGGCAGGGGTCAAGGCCAGTAGTAGTGGCACCGTGGAGTGACGGCAGTGGGACCGTGTCCCAGACAAGCACATAAGCATGCTGACTACAGCGGGGCTGACAATAGCTTTTATGTATTGTGAATGACTCCTACATCACCGAGATGATACTGAGCTAGTAGCTCTGCTATAAGGACAGCATTAAGAACTAAATGGAGATAAATGCCTGTGAGGTGTTTTGATGGTGTGCATTTTTAAAACAATTGGCCATTCTGACATGTGACCTGAACCTCACCCAGAGCAGGTATTTAGGATGCGTTGATACAAGTGTGATCAGAAATGTCATGGCTCCAGTACAAGGTAAAATATGTTGCTTTGATAGTACACCAACCAAAAATGTTTTTTTTTTTTTTAAATCAGCAACTTTTATTTGTAGTGAATGATTTTGACTTTGATTTTTCAATTTATTTATTCATGTATTAAGGGTGATTTAGGTTTGCATTTTTTAAAATGGAAAGTTTTTGTTGTACATAGTCAGAACAGTATTCTAAGTCACAGAAACTAGTATTTGAATCCAATACCGTTTTCTTTAGCCACAACAATCTGTTCTAAAGTAGTCCTCTGAAACGAGGCCATTTCAGGGAGATCCAAAAGTTTTGCACTGTTTATATAAAATATCTATAAAGGACTGTTCCTCAGATGAAATGTCTGACTATTTAAGCTGTGTTGAAGATATTAATGACTACAACCAATGACCCAGGATCTAATGAAAATGCAAAAATTCAGAGCAACAAAGATGGAAATAGTAAAGTAAAATTTTAACATCACAACAGATATATTGAACAGCAGGAGATATTTAGTCAGACCAAACCAAATTAAACCCACATCCCTTTTTCTTTGACTTACTTTAGGTATGTTTTTATCCAGTGTATGGCTGAAGCATGATGGGAAATGTCTTAATTTATTAGAGAAAGAAAGAACAAAACATAATCTGCATACATTACTTCAGATGTTTTAGGTTTTAGTGTGATCATTTTCACCAGCTTTCCTGTCCATCACTCACCTGTGTAGTTTTAGCTGATGATATCTGCTAAAAACTTTAAAAGCAAAGGCTACATATGGTTTAATACACCTTTTTAAACTTGTTTACTGTGACTCTGACAGACTAGTGAGTTAAAAAAAATCAACTATATAAAATGAAAGTGTTGCTGAATGAACACTGGCAACCGGAAAGACATGTTTTGTTCTGTTGTAGTAAAATAGCTGTTACTGCTGATGAGTGTTACTTGATATTTTTAACAAAGAGGTCGTTTGTTAAGTGTGGTATAGAGAAAAACTCAGCTGCCAAACCAAAGTCTGTTTTATATGTAAAGTACAGGTGTATGAACAGTTGCAGATGCAATACCAAATACCTTTAGTTCATTACTAAAAAGGTAGATTCCTGTGTTTATTGTCTTTAAAAAAATGAACCTTTTTTTTACTCTACAGGTGTTTCTTTGTTTTCAAGCATGTTTGTGTATTTTTACAGTTTGACCTACTTGTTGTTTACCAATATGAGGGTGGATAGAGATAAGACTGACAACACAGCAATACTATCACAGCAGTTTAAATAAATTGAGCAAGAAAGTCTCTCTGTTAACCGTGGTAGACAAAAAGATGATGATGTGGTAGTGGTGACTTTATTATACAGGAATCTATGCAAGACAAATGAGCCTTATTAAGTTCAGAAACTTTAGAAATGAAAGATCGGTGTTCATCACAGAAGATCTAGAATTAAGAGAATAACAGTTAAATGTAGATGGGCGTGGATTAAAGTGTCATTGATATACAGTTAAAACACTTATTGTGGTCAGTGCATGTTTTTGCTCTCTTTGTAAGAGAATACATTCATTTGACCTTTTTTGGGGTCAAGAGATAAAAGTTTTATCTCAATTTTTAAACTTTTTACTAGGTTTTATTTTGTTCCCAGAAACTGTTTTGTGCTTTAAGTGTTTGTGTGTGTGTGTTAGATTTGAAATATTTATTGCAAAATTACAGTCATTCAGACTTCATTGGTGTTTTATGTTTGTTTTCTCAATATGAATGCTGTGCTTGTGCAGTGAAACAAGTCTAGGCCTGTTAGTGCTAAGGCTCTTTATTTTATTTTTCTCCCATAATCTCTTACTGGAAATGTCAACCTACCTGTTTAACTTTCACATCCTACTTTTTGGACAGTTGATTTTCAGTTTTTAAAGGCAAGTCGAGGCTTTGTGTGTGCGGTGTGATGTGTTTTAATGTATTTATTGGGTTTGACTGTGGACTCTGCAGAGCTTGGGTGGTTGGTGCAGAAGCAAATTTGTATTTTTGTACAATATTCTAATAAAATAATATTTTACTACATGTTCTAATTTGCATGTGTATTGATTTAAAGGCTACAGACAGACGAACTGGAAGGCCTGTTGGTGCAAAGTATCTCCTTATCTGTGCTGCTTATTTTTAATGTATGTCTGGAAGAGGGGCAACTGCAGTTCTGAAATCATAATTATTTGTTACTGACAGATAAACCTGATCTTATTATCACTGTATTTGCTGAAATTATAGTTTTAACTAATTTACTGTCAAGAGTTCATAAGAAAATATGCATAAAGCCTGCAAATAAATGGTAAAATACAATAAACATTTCTAAAACAAATGCTTGTTACACCGATATAGGTAGATTTGGTGCCCTCTTGTGGTCAAAACTTGTAAACACATCCAGTGATGTGGTACCAAATCTAATGTATTTAGATTTAGATCTGAATAAGGGTATTAACTTTTACTATTGAGTCAAAATGATATCTAAACCACACATGACTTCTTTATGGTAATAAATTGCACACCTGTCTAAATTGCCAACTATGTAACCTGCCCAGTTTATTCATACCTGTAATACATATTTTACTAGTTAGCTATTCACTTTAAGATGCCTACAATATATTGTTGTATTCTATACATTCTTTAGCACATCTGAATATACTGCGATAATATATTTTCAACATGTTATGCTTATGGTTATTCATAACTGGTTAAACTGGTTTAATCCTGGTTTGAGAGAATATGTATTTATTTGTCATGTGCTTCTAACATATGAAAAAAAACCTACACTTAAACAGAATCATGGACATTAAACACAATACCCTTATTTAACGTTGATCAGATTTGTTTAATAAAACCAATGGTGGTGACTCTCTTTATCTTTCATTTAAACTACTTCATACACTCACAATTGTTAACCCAATTTAAAGCATAGCAGCATACATGCCGTGGCACTTTGGCCCAGAGGTAATGTCTCTGTCATTGGTGTGGAACTTTAGGGAATCCCGGTTTAGGCAGTGGACTCACCACCCGGAGGTTGGTACGGTGCAATGTGATTTAGGTGGCAACTGCTGCCCCCGCGACCCGGTAACGGATAAGCGGATGAAAATGGATGGATGGATGGATGGAACATGCATGCCGCTGAGCTTTCAAACACTGCCCCCTTTTGGATGACCGTATTAAGATTAGAACTGAGATGCAGGTTAATACCACGTGACAACTTTGCCACGCGCGAGTCTGTAGGCTATCTATATAGTTCTTCTATTTCTTTCGGCTTTGTCCCTTTTTTCAGGGGTTGCCACAGCGAATCATTGATTTCCATACATCTATGTACTTAAATGTTTAAATTGGTAATTAGTTATAAAAAAGAGCAGTTTGACAGATTAGTATATTAGTCCGTCAAATCTTAAGTGTACGTCTTAAAGTTGTGAATTCGTCATTTGGAAACAAACAAACCCCAACAAGCACGTCATAACTTTTGTCGCGCTAACGGCGGATTGCATTTTGTACTAAAAGGATGTTAGCCAATGAAAAGAGGAGAGGGGCGTGGTTTACGGACGACGTTCGTCTACTTAAAACGGTCCAGATTCTTGACAGTTAGTCTCGGCTTCGCTGAACCGTAAAGACAGTGATTACAGTAAGTATGGGTTTATATACTCGTTTTAAATAATTGTATTTTCTTTTTTAATTTCGTAAGAAAATTGGTAACCTGATAGTGATTACACGAGTAGAAGTTGTCTTAACATTTAATAACAGGACAATATTAATCATATGTAGCTCATTTGCTAAAGTGGAACAGTTTAATATTACTATGTTTTAACACTGGTTAAGTAAAAAGAAAAATGCTAACTTAAATGCTAACAAACTATAAACGCGTTTGCATTGCTTGCATACTAAAGCCTAGTGTTGTTCCATCCTGCGTTTTGAAGCAGCGCTGTAACTTTGAATATAGATGAAAATAAAATACCAAACTGATACAATTTCAAATATAGTTGACTTTAAAAAAATCTAAATGAAATTTTTACAAATTTAGCGCAACCAATCGTTTTTATTGGTATAGAAAAATATTTAGCTTTTTAAATTTTTCCATAAGAAAACATATAATTTACCTGCCGTTTAACACCCAATACAACGACTTTTCTACAGTTAAAACACAGTCGACAGTTTTAAAACTAAAATGCTTTTTAAAATTGTTTTAAAAAAATATTACCAACAGTTGAAATTCGTTTGAATTCCGCCTTTGATATTTTGAACTGACGCTTGTTGCACCTGACTAAATTGACGATGCAATTGGCTAATGCTGCTGCCTCTTAAATACTGCTCCTTCGACTAAAATACATGTCCTCACACAGACAACCTTTCACGACTCACACCACACGCTGGAGAGATGAAGAGGGAAATTGGAGCAGCGCTGTTCTACCTGAAAAGGAACGTTAAAGCAAAGGGGAAGGTGGAAGCAGACAAGCTGGAGCTGTTTGTGGAGAGGCTGGCTGTGGCACTTAAGAAAAAGTTCCAAGGGCACTGGTACCCTGAGAATCCCAGCAGAGGAAGTGCATATAGGTAACACATTTCTATTTTTTTGTGCTAGAGTTAATAATATTCCCAGATGTAACTGTATTCAAAGACAACTTTCCTAGATTCCTCATGGTGTTGAGGTCATGTCCGTTTGCAGGTGCACCAGAATCAACGAGTTTTACAAAGAGGATCCAGAGCTGGTTCGTGCCTGTCAGGAGAGTGGAGTCAAGTACAGTGACCTGGGGCTTCCTCGAGAAGTGACATTGTGGGTGGATCCTGGAGAGGTTTGCTGCAGGTAAGAGTGTTCAGGGAAAACATTTACCATTTTTGTTTAAGTTTAAAAATTGCATATTAGTACTGATTCAATCAAATCTAATCTATTTGTTTTAAATTCTGTAAAACACTTTAACTGAATCTCATGACACAGACCTTATGATGTAATTGAGAATTGATAACAGTGGTAGATTTAAATAATTTATGTTGTTTATAAAAAAATGTTGTTTATTTTTAACTTTTCTATGTCTTCTCTTCTTAGATATGGAGAGGGAAATCTGGTCTTCTCTGTGGCAACTTTCTCTGTCAATGGGAGCACAGATGAGCAGAATGTTAAGATCAAGACCAGGGCTTTAAAGAGAGTTTCATCTGACAGCCTTGCCAATGAGAAAAATGATAATATAGGGCGTTGTTGCATTTCTAAATGCCAGGTATTGTAAACAGTCAGGTAAATTCTTTGTTTAAAGACTTATTATGAACATCTGTCCTAAGTATTGAAACTATAAGGGTAAGCACACTTATTGAAAATTGTTGACCTTTTTTATACAAGACTGTTGGGGGGTAAAATAATGTTTACACTGACACCACCTGAATTGTCAAAATGTTATGTCATGTTATAGGTATCTGTGTTCTAGAGTAAGTTCAGTGACATTTTGCTGTTTTACTTGCCTCAATACATGCCACAATACTGTTTAATTTTTGTTATTATTGTCATTCCAGGCATTAAATCTAGATTGTGCTGAGTGGTACCCAAAACCACTGGTCAAAGCTCCAGTCAAAGGTTTTCATCGACCTTCTCGTGGTTTCAGGACTCGCAGCAGAGTTACGTTCGCTTTAAAGCGGACAGGGTGGTTCCATACTCGCAACAGAGTACGACCTGTACACCGTGGTGTGAATTGTCAGGGTTAAGAGTTCTTGTGCTCAACGTGTACAGCGGACATAAAAGCCAATGATGCAGTAAATGTCAAACATCAGGGTTTTTTTTGTTTCTTCCAAAAAAAAATCATTTGTATATTTTAAAAATGAAAAAAAAAAGATATGTTGTTTTTTTAAATACAGTTATTGCATATATTACATTATTATCCTTGGAATAGTATGTGTAAATATTTTTACCAAGAGGATATTTTAAAATTTTACTTATTTTCATCTAATATTGGACTTACAATAATATTGTGGAAAAAGCACTCAACTTGTTAATTAGTACTAACCACTTTAAACAGTATGTTCTACTTTGTTAGTAATGATGTTTATTTAACTTGTAAGGATTTGATTATTTTTGACATTTTTATTATTAGACATATTATTTTTATTATTTTAATTTTTTGAATTCTATATGTTATTGTTATTAGTACATTATTTTTTGTCACACAGCATTTTTTTGTTAAGTTAAACTAATCTGAATTGTCTAGTGTTGTCGATTCTACTAATTGGCTTGTCTAATAAATATTCTGTGTTCATTTTGATGAGTAATGTTCTGGTTAATGTTTTTTTTCAGTAAAATTCTTTCATTGAGCAGCAGCTTCAGTCTATCCTTCTGTGCTGTTTATCCCAGTATATCATTGTAGAACGAACAATAGTAGATCCTTGAGTACCAGAAACACCTCTTTATTATCACCTAATATCACTGCTAGATGAATCACAGGTAAATATCTAGGATGCCCACTTGTGACCAACAATAAGGGTTATAAACATCAAAACTTACTGAAGCATATAATTAACCATTTTTGCATACCTTTCTTATAAATAAATCCGGTATTATCATCATGACATGAATTTGTGATTAATTGTAATTATTATATTTAAGTCTTACCTATGTTTATATATATGATTAAAAAATAACTCACACTGTAAGATACTTTTGGTGGTAACTCATTTATTTTTTAGGCAGTACCAACAGCTAAAGTGAAAACGTGTTAATCTAGTAAGTGGTGTACACTATTACTTCGATCATGACTGTTTACTCAGTCTGAATCTTGGTTTGTTATTTATACAATCATCTAACTTGCATCATATTTTGCAGACATCACTTTTTTTTCGTGACATGTTTTTTTTCACTTTATGTGCTTATTCTTCGTACTAGTAGTATCTTGTATGACAAGTTGAACTAAAAGACAAACCACGCTTATACCTTGAAGGTAATGAGCACCTTCTGTATGTGGCCCAACAAATATTTTTAAAGGCGGTTAATATTACATTGCCCCTTTAAAGGTCAGGTAAACTGTTTTTTATTGAATGCAAACTAAAATTCATATTTAAAGAAAAGAATATCGAAAAGTTGCCTGATGAGACTTACTTTTTTCAAAACCACACACACACACACACACCCACAAGGGGCGAGCATAGGTTCCACAAATCACTATCAGTTCTGCCTTTGGCAACCAATAATGACACACAAAGGGCGGGCTTATGTGGTAGAGGCGGGGCTTACAACGGAAACTGAATTCTTTTGGCGTTCGTCATCATCCCTATGCCATTCATTCCCTGACACGCTGGATTTGCGCCTTGTAAAAGTAAGTGGAATATTTTGTAGACACAGTTCTCCCAGAATAATATAGTATTTTAATTAGAATTTTACAAACGTATGATATATTTACGTAGCCTCTTTGGAAGTTAGCAAGGCTAGCCTGTGAGACACAATAGCTGGTTTGATGCGAGTCGATAATCACATTCTGTTTGTACACTAACTATATGCTCGTGTCGGCGATGAAACTTTAGACCAGCTAAAATTTTTCACGTTTCATTCTAGTGTCTTATTTAGCACGTTATTGGTCTCTGCATGAATGAACTAGCTCGTTGCTAGCTAAGAGCGGCGCATATGGAGCCATGAGAGGCTTAAATTACCGGAACTTGTGCGTCACAGCCCGCCTTTATGGAAGATGTGCCGTTACTGTCATAAAAGAACAAAATACAGAAAAACCAAAAATTCCTTAAATTTAAATTTTTGTATTTAATAATTTTCCCAAAAAATAAATGTTTTTTTTACGTTTTAGCCATACAGGGTTCTTATGGAGGTAAATAATACTTTTAAAAAAAACGAATTAAATCATTTTAAAACTTGGCTGTAAAAGTTGACTTCATCAAGTTTTATCAAGTGATTTGTTTAAGCCACAGATATACATATTATTTTATTTTAATTATTATTCTTTTTCTACTGAGAAGAAGGTAAAAGGTTTGGGTGCATTTTCACACTTACCTCTTTTACTAATGTCTGTCGTACAACCACAGATGACCTTCCACTAGTTGGACCACAGTACATTAAAAAATGTTGACTTTGATCACTTTGATGACATTTTTGGTGATGTAATTTAATCGACAAGTGATTGTTTCACCTCTGTTTCTGAAGATTTTAACTTTGAAATGCTAAAAATTATGGCTTTACTTCTTTTTCAAAACGGATCGTGAAATGAATACAACTAAAATGAGTTGTGTCACAGGGACTGTTCACACGCAATGATACATACTGGAAATATGAGAAGAGAAATTGCAGCAGTGGTGTTCTACCTGAAGAGGCTCGTGAAAAAGGCAGGGAAGCTGGAACCGGACAAAGTTGAGCTGTTTGTTGAACGACTGGCTGTTGCACTACAAGATAAGTTCAAAGGTCACTGGTATCCTGAGTCTCCCAGTAAAGGACAGGCCTACAGGTGCACATCCATGTCATTTCACATATATTTGTTGGACTTAAAATCCCTTCCATTGTACATGCCTTATCACTGCAACAAGTAATCATTTTTCTAAATGCTTTTCAGGTGCATTCGAGTTAACAGGTTCCACCGAGAGGATCCAGAGCTCCTACGGGCCTGTCAAGAGAGTGGAATTCAGTACAGTGACCTTGGACTGCCCCATGAACTAACATTGTGGGTGGACCCTGGGGAGGTTTGTTGCAGGTTAGAGATGGAAGAGAACAGAAAAATGAAAAATATGTTTTGGCACTGTAGTGTAAATTCATTCAAACTACTAATAATATTGTCTTTTTTGTTTTTACATTTGAAGGTATGGAGAACGTAGTCTTTGCTTCTCAGTTGCTACTTTTTCCAGTGATGAAGAACAGGATAAATATGTCGCAAAGAAGGTGATCAGTGCTTTGACGAGAGTCACATCGGACTACCACTCAGACTCTTCCTCAGACGAAGAGCGAACACGTACTCCGCCACTTATGATTGACCCCAGTCACTGTTACAAGGTATTCCGTACAATTTCAGTCCTTTTAAAATAGCCAGTTTTAGAATTTAGAACAATGGGAAAACTGTTTATGACTGTGTATTGGATTCAAAGGTTGTGATAATAATAGAAAAGGGATGGAATTTTGATAATTGAAAAAATTAAAGTAATAATGCACACACAACCTTTTTAATTTTGAGAAAAATGCTGTTTTGTTTTGGAGTTCTTTTAAACTCTGGCACTAAGGATGTTTGGTAATAGGAGGTCTGAGAGTGATTTGATTACATGACTAAGGTTTTTTTGTTTGTTTTTTTCTTTCCTTTGAAGGCCCTTAATCCAGGTGCTCCCTCCTGGCATCCAAGAAAAATTGTACCAGGAAATTGTTGCATTCGTCCACCACCTCTTCATGGTTTCAGGCCTCGCAGCAAAGCTGCACACCCTCGAAAGCATAAACCGTTGGTCCCTCTTGACAGCAGGGCAGGGCCTGAAAGCTGTGACTCTAAAGGATACTGCTAGGACAATTTGAACATTACTTTTTACTGGGCATGAAAACTGAGGACAACTTTAACTGAATTTCTTTTTTCTTTTTTTAACATGAATTTTTTATAGCTAAGAACCTGTCTTGTTTTCTGCACTTTAGACAATTTGTTGTAGTTGAAACAAATTGCATGTAATAATTGGATATTGACATTGAAATACTACACTTATCTTGAACTGCTGTGTTTGTACAATGGGAGCTGTAATGTTTGTCACCTTTGTGATGTTATGTTTTATTTATTGATAGTGTGGAATTCAGATTTATAGACTAAAATTTAAAGTTTTACAAAAAATTCCAAGTAAGTATTTTTGAACCTTTTTTTAAACAAACATTTTTAACTTCTCTCTAGGTAATATTTGTAATTTTTTTAAAGCACAATGAAAAATGAGCACAAATGTTCACATTTATCATAATCACTGTATTGATCTGGTCGTTGTGAAATAGTTGACGCTCATGACACTGGTTGTATGTTTGTGACTTGACCGGTTATAAAAAGTAAAGATGGGGACATTTTGACAATTCCAGAATATTTGTTGTGCTGCAAGTTTCTAATTGTCTGCACAGTATTGAAACAAATAGTATAGAAACAAATTTAACAGAATGGTATTTCCAGCAGATGTAGGTTCAGTGCTCAGCTGTCTGCCTTGGCAACGAGAGGAATGGGAAGCAGCAGAGGGAGGAGAAAGATGAGCTACTGTAGATGGGGGTCAGACAAGTTGAAACAACTTTATTGAAATGAACATAAAAATATATATGCAGTATTAATTTCAATTCACAGAAGTGTCAGATGCTGTAGTTGTGAAGTAACAAAACAGGAGAGAAAGTTAGTTTTTCAAAGGTAGATGGTTTCCTAGTAGCCCCTTGGTTAAATTTTTGAAAAATCTATGTGATGTACAGAACTGTAAAAGAGTGAGACAGTGATGGGGAAAAAATGTGTTTCCAAAAAATCTTCATTTTCTGGATATGCCCAAGACAAGTGGGCTCTAAATGAAGCCAGTGGGTAAGGTCAGTTACACTTCAGTATTTTAACCGGAAGAGGGCATCACGAGCTGCTGGTTTGGGAAAGGGATGTCACGTGACTGGTTAGGCTCCGCTTTGCACCTGCAGAGAGAAAGAGAAGGAGGTAGAGGAGGAGCAGGAGTTTGGAACCGTGTGTAGCTGAACTGCTCAGTTTTACTCCCTTCATTCACAAGTTCTCGCATTAAGTTCTGGTGTGGAAGTGTTGGAATAACAGGAGCAGGTATGGAGCTGATTTTAGTCCGGATGTGCGCTCTGCTGTTGATCGTGTTCACAGGTAAGTTAGTCTTTTACCAAAGCTAAAAGCTACGCAGCGGTTTCCAGTGTGATGAATGAGTGTTGTTTTTTCCTAAGCGGCGGTGCCGTCTAACACAGAGTGGAAAACCGTGTGCCCCGCTCATGTAGACTTTTTCTTTGTCTTAAAACAAGTAAGCGTGCTAACTGAAATGTTTTGCGTTAGTGTTGTTAAAATAGAATTATGTCTGTGGTCAATAAAAACCAACGACCTGTGGATACACGCTGACGAAACAGACCAACAGGGTGTAACTGACCCAAGGTCAGTTTAAACAGCGAGCTTCACAACTAACTAAATGACTAGAAACAACAGCCATTTTAGGATTAAACCTTGTTGAAATTTGTTCTAACCGCAGCTTAATCAACTTACGACTTCTATATATATATTTTAGTTAACGTTTCAAACCACTCATTTAAATGACGAGCTCACAGAGACGACGTTTTGTTCTCAATCGTTGTCGGATGGTCCTATAGTTATTTTATCTCTTAAGCTTAGTAAATTCACAAGAGGTATTTTCATCTTCTTACAGGTTTTTTTGTACGGATTAAAGAGCAGCCTGGTTAATGGGTATTTGGTGATATTTAAATTAACTTTCTGGTTGACTCCGACATTAAATAATTATGATGTGTACTGTATTCGCGAGAATAAATAATATGTTTTAATTCTTACAGGACACTGACCTTGAATGGTTTTGGTGTGTGTTGCTAGGATTCACAGATGTACACAGTTGTCTGTATTTCTTAAGGCTGGAACAATACATTATTCATCATCGAGTAATCAGATTTATTATTTGTTCTTTCAAAAAAGTTGATTAGTCATTTGATTTTTTTTTTAAAGATTTTGGTCCATAATCATGATGTTTATAGTATTCTCTTAAAGATAAAAAACCATATCATCATAGCGTATTTATATTAGAGACTAATGAGAGAAAATCACTAATTTATCAAAACTAAACTAAAATGAGTGATATAAAGTAATCATTAAATAACTTATTAATGAAGTAATACGACATGGATTAATTGTAGGTGTCTTTAACAAAATGAATCGTCTCCTTATAGAAATCACTTGTACATTATGTTGGTGAACACATTACAGTGGTAATCTTTACAACCATCAACATATAGTTCATGCCTTGAATGTGACATACAATTAAAATTTTACTGCCAGTGATTTATAGAATAATCCAGTGAAAAAAAGAAGTATTTACAGTGTGCAGACATCTACTAGTAACACATTTCTACTACAGTATAAAGAGGACATATCAAAGCTGAGGCTTGCTGACTCTACTTTGCCCATTGTTGTTGTTGAACCCCCCCCCCACACACACACACACCCCAGTGAAACACACTTTCACATGCTTATCCTTTAATTTTGGTATCATTCACTGAATTGTTAAGTTGAAACTGAAATCCCCCAATCTGTAGGAGTAGAGACATAGTGAGTGACCCCCAAACCAAGTGGGTTTGTTGATACTTTACTCTGTGAGCAGATCATTGTGGGTGGTGTCGCCTTTTGAAACCTTTGTTTGTGCGATCTTATTTTGATGGTGAATGTTTTGAAGGTGTTCTCTAAGGCACTCCTGTTTTACCATTGCAGCGTCTTATTGTCTTCATGTTTGGCATTGTTAAATAAGCACAGAAGTTAATATGCAAGGCAGGTCAAATGAGTTTATTGATAAACTGCAGGTTAATCAAACTTTATAAAGATAATGTAATTTTTAAATAAATGTGATGTTATTTCATGCGATTGCCGTTTCCTTTAATTGCTGCGAATGTAAATTTTAAATTTATTGAAGGCGTGATTATTCAGTGCCCTGGAATCTGGACTGAAACTGACAAAGACTCCTCCCACTCTGAACAATGCACTGTGAAACTTTCATGTGAAAATTCTTTCACTGGCTTCACTCAGTCACATTCTCTTGTAGTTGTTAACAGAATGTTTCCTTATATTTCCATGTAAAGCCACAGAGCCATGATGACATACCAGTCTGATGATTTTTTTTTTAATGAAGAAGTGCATTGTTCAAAGTCCTTATCGCTTCATGTTGAGGCCAGGGCAACATCATTTCTTATGAGCATTTTATTGGGGATTGTTGGACTTCTTTTGTCTGACAACTTACATTGTTTGGTAGCTAGTTGATGCTCATTACCATTCTAATGGCAGCGCAGACTCATCATTTGGACTCCGTTCCACTTCAGCAGACAATAACAATGTCTGCCAGACTCTTAACATTCTCTTAACATGGCTTAACCATTTTAAATTGAAAAACCAGTATCTGTGTCTTTCTGTTTTATATTTTTTGTTTGATTTCTTTTTAGGACTTTAAATGATCTATGAACAAGGTATGCCATCTAGCACGGATAATAAGTCTTTTTAGGTACATTACGTATTTCGTAAAAGGCCATGTATTTTTGCTCTTTCTTTTAAATATATATGCTTATTATTTAGTGTCTTTTTATCAGTCAAACAAATGCTATATTACCATGTATTCATAAATGATACTGATCATGATTGCATCTACCATTAGTTTTTTTCTTTTCAAACATGCCTCTTACTTGTGTGCCTATTACATTGATGGTACAGATTGTGAGTTACTGTTTTTCTTCTTTTGTGATGCTGCATCTCTGTAGGACTATTATGAAATAATTAGTAGATATGTAATCAGCAGATAAATGTGTTTTGGTTTTCAGGTGGTTGTGTCATTTCTTGAAATGTCAACAGTTGATAATTAAATATTAAGATAGAATAGATGGCTTTGCTCCTAATGGCTATATGTTGACGGGGGAGTGTAGTGAGTGCAGATTGTAGTGGTATTATCTATCATAATGTTTGTCGTCAAATGCAGTGGTCTGAACTGTCCACCACGTCTTGCCACTGCTTTGCTTTTTTGTCTTATTTCCATTCAGTTGTAGGTGCAAGTTTGAATCCTTGTGGGATGAAACTGGTTTTGTTTACATTTTCAGTGTGGTGCCGCTCTCTCCCCCTACACACCTGACATTTTAGGTCAAAAGTGAATCCACCATTGTAGAATAAACAAAAACCTTAAGTGAAACTGTGAGCAGGAGCCGAGCTCAGTCACCTGATAAGCCAGCAACCAAAGGTCCTGGATAGGAACTGGTTGCTTGGTTACCTTTTGAAAACAGAGGAGGGAGTGTACTCTCTCACCGTCTCTCTCTCTCTTTGTGCATGTCTGTCTGTTGCTTCACAAAGCAACCCTCCCCCTTACTTTCAAAGTATGTATTGTGTGCCATTTTACTGCACAATGGCTGTTGTAGATGTATTGAATATCTTGAACACAGGTTTTATGAGTAAATGTTACAGCAGACACTACAGTTCCCACTTTTACAACTGTATGTTTATTGTGAAGTGATTGGCCACCTTAGAGAAATGGCCACAAAAATGGTTACATTGATGACTAGAGAAATCCAAGCCTTTGTCAATGGATCAACAGAGGTAGTAAAGTTTATGACCCAAATTGGTCTCCAAAAGCAACCTATCACATAATTAAATAAACGGTTTAAATTCAAACTGTTTGTCAAAGCAGCCAATCACATGGCAGCAACCTAATGCATTGCATAAATATACATTGTCAACACATTTTTGAACCAAGCACCACAAGAAGAGACGGGGTACTTTAGTACTGGGACATTTTTCATTTTAGATGGACACATTTCAAAAACTGTGTTTTATGGGGTCTAGAGAAGGCTCTTAAAAAGATAAATTTTAAAGTGAGCATAAGATTTTTGGAAAAGCCCAAAACCTAGCCCATTAAATTCGTCAGATGAGAATTACTGATCTGGTCCAAAGTCATTGCAAGGTTTTTAGTATTTTAAGAAACTGCGTACAAAAATCACTATTATCCAGGATATAAAGAAACCATTTCCTGGCCAACAACAGGAATCTGAAGTATAAAAGAAATGCAACCCGTAGTCATATAGAGCCAATCAAATAAGATAATGTATCTGTCATGCTTTGTTTTTATGGTCCAGGTTAGCATTTGAGGAAATGTTACGGGGGATATTTACCCCCATTATGCGATTATAGGCCACTATGCTTAAATTATATATCAATGTACATATCAATAAATTATGGTATAAAACATTTGCCTTAGTTGGTCCTGCAGTCGCATTGTTTAGTCAAGATCTGCACTCTTAACTACTTTAGATAGAAACTATCTAGATAGAACTTTTTATTTAAATATTTATAATAACTAACACTCGTCTCCTGATGTCTGCAACATGTTGCACCAATACCTTCTTCTAAGGAGACTCTTAGAAGAACAGTCCCCTGTCCTTGGAATGAGGCATGAACATGTGGAATCAGATTACACTCCTGGGTCAGTACATTGTCCTCTACAATCTGACGGTGAGGACAACTGCCCATGAATATTCACCGCCCTGCATGTTAATATTTTAACATGCCAGCTCTGTTCCAGTCCAGTGCCAACGCCTGTGTGAAAGGCTGATCCTACCTTTACGTTGTTCTCCCATCACTGCCTTGTCAATGTCTTGTCTGTAATTGTGTTGAATACTGATGAACAGAATGATGCCTGCCAGAATCTGTGGGAATGAATAATAGAGGTGCTTGTTTTTAAGTGCCCATAATGGCTGCACAGCTTCTCTGTATTCAGAGCTCGGTCCTTTTCTCACAGGTGTGGAGTAAAACTGCCTCCCGGTTCACTGCCAGGTTCTGTGTGAGAGGATCTGCCTGAACCCATTTGTCACAAAGTCAATATCATATTGACATTCTGTAAATCTCAACTTTTTATAGCTGCTAACTTGTAAATTACTTTAGCTACAGCACTGACCTCTACACTCTTCAAATGACCAAATAAATGTAGCTGCAGCAGAGTTTTGCCCAAGTGACGCAATGACTGATAAGTCCTTTAAAAAGCAGTTGGAGTCTATTTCGTACCAAGGGGCACATGATTTCTGGTCAGGCAAAGTAGTTTTTCAAGCCATTGAGAAAAGAGCATTTCTGGA